ACAATGCAGTCGCCGAGTTACACAACGGCAATTTCCGCGTGCGTTATGGCAGCTGATGGGTGGCACGCGCCAAGTGGCAGCGAGCGAGCGTGCGTCTCCAAAAATCGGCGGCGCCACCGCCGACGCCGGTGATTCCAAATTAATCCGAACATACCCGCGCGCGTGTTTGTCGTGGCGTGCACGCGCGGCCCTTTCGTCTTCCTCCGCGTGTCTGCGCGGCGACGCGATTTTGGTCGCGTTCAACCCGCGCTCGCAGATATCTCCCCCCGAAAGAATTTTTAAAAATCGACGGTTCGGTGCCGGGAGTTTTGGTAGTGGTTCGCGCCGGCGGCGGTGCCCGGTGGTACGCGCGGTGAAGAGCGAGGGCGGCCTCTGCGGGGCGTTTGCCGCAGTCGGCGAGAAATCCTGAGGCGGGGAAAATGTTCGTTTCCCCAATTTCTGCAAGCCAAATCAGAAATAGGCTACACCGGTGGCTTGTTACACAACGCGATGATGTAATCCGTCTTGGGGGCTTGTTATGCAATCCTGCACCAGCACGGATTTATATATCAGAAAGAAATAAAATATTCTGTAAACTTGCCCTCCGTTTTTTTTTTTATTCCCTCCGCCTATTTATGCATTCATCATTCTCCTGCTCGTCGGCACTCTTTACGTGTTGCATTTTGCACGCACGTGGAAGCCTCTATCTCGTCGTATCCTTCCCGCCTGTTTCTAGGTGGCATATATAACAATAATAAAACATTGAATCAGTAAAACAAAATAGCGTTCGTGTCGCCGGCTGCCGCGACCTGGGGCTCTGTGCGCTTTGCCCGCTCGTAATCCCTCCCGCCACGGCGCCGCACGGTGTCTTGCATTTTTGCACTGCGGAACTTTGTATTTTATTTTTTTGGTCACCCACTCCCTTACTCGGACTCCTACCCGAGCTGCGCTTAATTCACGTCCGTGCGGAGCGGCTCGACAAATGTCGTGCAGGGCTTGGACTTCTCCGCACGCCCCGCTCTCTGTTGTGCATTTAAATGTACTTATTCATTTACTTCGCAAAAAAAAGAGGATTAGGGCAGGAGGGGGCGGATGGGTAGCATTTGCAAACGGTGGATTTCAATTTAACTGTGTCACAGCCCAAATGTCAAATTTGGTCGCAAACTGGCAACTAAATAGTGGAGATTAATAATTACTGCTGCGCTTATGTAACCTGCGCTGAGCAGAGGTCTGGCTCGTACAATAGAGGGGGGTCCTCGACTGGCGCTCGGTTAAATAGCGGACGTTGAGTGGGCGTTTGGAGGAGGGAGCGGCGTTACATGTCTGGGTGGATCGGACCGCTCGCGGTTGTGCCCGTTAATGGTGTTTGTTGATTGCTATCTATTGCAATGTATTCACGTCTGCTCTTTGAACTGCGTAAAAATGTTTTATTTATTGATCCTTCAGTCAAATTGATAAATAATCAAATAATAACAATTCACGAAATTGTCCGGGTCGGTCGTTAAATTTGAGCGGGAACAGGACGAACGAGTGAGCGAGCGGCACCAAGATGCCCAGGGACTCGCTCCGCACGTCACCCACCCCATCCACTCACTCTCTCACCACATCACCGTCAACCCCCCCCATCTCCCCACCGCATCCTCCCTCTCTCTCTCTCACCGCCACCCGATCGCTCACTCCACCACTCGCCCACCAGCTGGCCACGTCCACTCGCTCGCGACGACGCCGACGCGCTCGCGCGCCGCGGCTCGGCGTTCCCCCACGGCCGCCCCCCCTGCTTGGACACGAACGGTGAAACGGTGAAACGGTGAAACGGTGTCCGTTGTGCGCGAGCCGCAATGTGAAACGCTTGTAAGGAGCCAGCGCGCTCCCCCCAGCAGCACCCCCCCCCACCCCGCCCGCCGCCCTCCCACCACCGCTGCCACCGCGAGCCTCCCTCTCCTGATGAGTAACATTTACCCGGTGAACTTCACGGTGGCGGCGTGCCGGCCGCTACGGAGAGCGCCGAGATGCGCGTTGGCTGTCCGTCCGTGAGAACAAAGCAAAGAGTCGAGGGACACAAAGGCGGCTTTCACCGTCGGCAAGCAGCTGTGACGGCGGCGGTTAGAGAGTGCCTCTTCGGTAGGCAGGTGCCACTGCCGTCTCCGCTTACGACCGGCAGTGTCGTTTGGCTCGTGGGAATGAGCACGTGTTTTGTATGTATACGTATGTGTTGAACTTTTTTTGCACCATACGTAGTCAACCGTGCTCATCGGGGGTGCGGTTTTTGGCTGAGTAGACCTAGGGGAAGTGAATGCCAAGCTGCTGTCCACCGACCACTGCTGATCCGCAAGCAGAGAGGAAGCATTGCAGATGCTACAATTTGTTTTAAAAAAATTCACAGAACTTGGCATGTTATTTTCAAACGTAGGTTTTGATAGCCGGTGCGACATGGCCCACGTACCGCACAGGTCGTGACCCCCGCTGACCTCTAGGGTACGGTGTCGTGAGGTTTGAATTGTGGCGTTGCCATTGCTGGGAATTGAATGTGGGTGTCTCTAGCGAGCGAATTTGTCTATTTCCACTGCGCCAACGGATGTGCAAATAAAAACGTGCACGCGCGCAAATACGTGCACGCGCGCAAATACGCGCACGCATGAATGCGTGCACATGCACACTGAAACAAGCACACACATGTGCACACGCGGATGCGCACATGCACGCCGACACAAACTTGCACACACAACACACAAGCACCAAAACACACACGTACGCACCCGCACAAACACGTGCCCAAACATAGGCAAATGCGTAGGACGCACACACTCGGCATCAGAATATTTATTTATCCTGGATGAATCTGATGAGCTATGAAGCTCTTTTTCACAGCTGTCCAGTCGGGTTTGGTCCGAACGTTACAACAACAAACGGTACCAAAACACGATCGGAGTTCAAAGTCGAGGAAAGGTAAACGGATCGCACAAAAAAGTACGATTTTATTTTACCAGGTAAAGCCCACCGAGCTATATAGCTTCTTCATCTTCAGACGCAACCTGGTTACAAATGATAGCTCAACGAAGTGGCTTTTGTGGAGATTCATCGCAGCCAAATAATCTACATAATTTAAAAGCATGTTGCTAAATGCGGAGGGATGCGAACGCACGCACGGTCAGACACGCACATGAACGCCCAAATGGAGTGAATCGACGATGTTTGTGTGGCCACGGATATCACCATGCCGCAGCACTCGTCTCGCGATCAGAGTGTCGTCATTTCCGTGAGGTCGATAAATTGAGAGTACCCACTTTGGTTGCAACGTAGACCGTCCTACGGGTACTAGTCCCTGCCATAAGAATGTGGAATGTCCACCAAAGCCTCCACACTCCCAATGGTGTGGCGCTAACAGCGATGGTGCTCATGTACTCGGGAACCCTTCGCTGAGTCTCAAGGCTCCTCCTCATTCCCGGGAGCGTTTTGATTTCCCGAGGGAGGAGACTGGAGTTGCCAGAGGAAGCCCTCGAGGGCGGCCAAGGAAGCCGACCGGTTCCAGGGCCTTCTCTTGTGGGGCAGGCAAATTCTGCACTGTCCTCCCAACCAATCGGAATCTACTTCTGCTTTCGTATGGATTCATAGCAGCAGATTAATGATGTAATCTTCGATTTGTTATCCACTCGGTTGTCTGTTGGGACGCAGAGTGGCTCTCGTCCGTTCATGCCAATCTGGATATGAATGCTGTAAGCAAGCCGTGCTGCGTCTGCGGCTGTGTACACGGTTTACTTACATGGACGTCTGCGCCGGGATTCTCTGATGCGCACCGTTGTTGATTTGTGTGTTAGAAGGCAGCGGTTGTTTGTCCTGTTTGAAGTGAGTTCTGGCGTGGGCTTCGTGTGTCAAATTTGTTTTTGCTTTGGTTGGTTTGCACATTCTCACCATGCGATGTTCTGTAGCTCCCACCGCTGTCTTGGGCTGGGGTCTGAGTCTCTGTATCACTCTGCAGTTACACAGAGACCCGTAGAGTTACTCGATGTAGTTTAACACGTAGGCTTTCGCGACCAACAGCCATAATAGTTTTTTTTGGTTTAGATCGCTTAAACATATGTAACTCTGCATGTCTCTATGCAACTCTGGATCTGTATGTAACTCTACAGGTGTCTTTGTACCTCAATGGGTCTCTATGTATCTCTACGTGTCTCTATGTATCTCTCCGTGTCTTTGTGTAACTCTACGGGTCTCTGTGTAACTCTTGATAACTGCAATGTGCTGTAACTGCCAACTTGTACCAGAGCTGCGAAGCTCAATGAAGCCTCACCAACAGAGATAAAGTCCTAGTCTGGGAAGCAGATGCGTCACGCACAGATGGATTTACAAATCCTACTCGCCGTGCTCCCGTCTCCCGGCCACCTCGCAGCAGCCCCCAGCAGGTTTGGGAGTTTCCGCGAATCTCCGCGTGATCCGCCTAAAGAAATGTACCGTATCATCGCCGCCGTGCACCACAGAGACGAAGGGTGACGCTGGTTCTTGAGTTCCCTTCCTCGGGGGTGTCCAGGAGGTTGCCAGGAGAAGGCGGCACGGCAAGCGTGACCGATCGCCGTCTGTTTCCATCTGTACGGGGATAGAGCGTTGCTTCCTCGCGCAAGGCGTAGGAACGGATGTCGCCTTCGTCTCTGTGGTGCACGGCGGCGATGAGACGGTACATTTTTGTAGGCGGAGGTTGGTGGATCACGCGGAGATTCCTGAAAACTCGCGGTTGAAAGCATCTTAACGGTAAACGCCGGACGTAGCAGCGGCGGCGGTAGCAGCAAGGACCCTGTGTGGCTCTCCCTGGATGAACATGTAAATGATTATCATTATTATTACAGTCAAGAGATCCTTCCTGGCAGCGGCAGCGTTGAATAAGCAATCGCGGAGCTGGAAACTACAACCGTTTTCTAGTTGGTGTTTGCGCGTGTATACGTTTCTATATTTATTTATTCCCCCCCCCCCTCTCCTGCCGTTGGCGGGGGTTGTGACTGCATCGCGCGTTCCCCCGTGCTGCCTTGCAGGGGCCAGGAGAGCGCCGGCATCGTCACGAGCAACGGGGCGACCCAGCCACGATTCACGACGCACAAGGTGGCCGCTTGCGGAACGCCCGGCGGTGGCGGCGGCGCCGGCGCGGGTCGCAGCCTCCCCCCGCGTACCGCGATCCGAGCGGCTCACGCGAACGCTCGCCGAATATGAAAGAGCGAGAGAGAGAGAGTTAAAAAAAATAATCGAAGAACAAGCCAAAGTTAGCGGCGGCGGTGTCATTACCGCTTAATTATCCGCAGACTTTTCCCCTTTCATGTGAGCGGGGTGTGTGTCTTTACGTGCGTGCGTGTGCGTGCGTGTGCGTGTGGAAAGCGGTGGCGCAGTGGTTTGCACTGCATTTTGACCCCGGCGACTCAAGTTCCTCGTTAAATGAGGACCTGGTGCGGTGTGTAAACATCAGCGCTGGGAATACAAGGGCCGCCGGGCGCGGTGTTGGCCACCCACCCCCTCGGATGCCGTGCCAGCCTTAATAGGTGCTCGCTAACAGCATGAGCCCGAGCAGGCGAACTTTGTCTTTGTGTTGTGTGTTTGCTCGCAAGTGCGCGTGTCACTGCTATGACCACAACTACCACCACTATTGCTGCCATGCACCACAACCACCAACAACTACCACAAACACTGCTTCAAGCATGCAAGCCTGTCATCACCACCAGCACCACCACTGCTGCTGTTAATACCATCACCACTACTACCATAACCACCACTGCCTCAACAACCACCATTACCAGCACCGCCACCGCCGTTATCGCCTCCCTCCATCCCCTCCGCTCCCTCCCTCCCCTGCACTCCCTCCACTCCGCTACCTCCCCTTGCTTCCCCCCCTCCCTCCGTCCCTCCATCCCTCTGCTCCCTCCCCTCTACTCTGTCTATCTGCTCTATCTCTCGGTCTCCTGGCTCGGTTCACCCCTTCCCCCCCCCCCCCACACGCATCCTACCTCTCCCCTCCCCCTGCTGCAACACCGGTCGACGCTCGCTCTCATTGCCGTCTGCGGTGCGTGCGCCCCCTGGTTGCGGCCGCGGCACCGTGGCCGGCAGGGCATGGGCCTGGTGAGCAGCGTGGTGCGGGAGGAGGACCTGGTCAAGCTGCGGCAGGGCAATCTGGGCATCGGCCACACGCGCTACTCCACCGCGGGACACTCGGAGCTGCTCAACTGCCAGCCGTTCGTGGTGGAGACGCTGCACGGCAAGATCGCGGTCGCACACAACGGCGAGCTGGTCAACGCCGCCAAGCTGCGCCGCAAGGTGCCTGCCCCCACCTCCCAGAGATCTCAGAAGCATCGGAATTTTTCTTTATACTGCAGGAGGAATCCAATGAGCTATAAAGATGTTTTTCACAGATGTCCGGTCAGGACACGGGGTCAGAATGTTCAACAAGAGACACTACAAGATACGATAGGAGTGCAAAGTATAGGAAAGGGAAGCAAATCACTGAAAAAATAAATTTTCTACGAATAAATCGTTTTATCTTCCCAGGTAAATCCTACTGAGCTATGAACTTGTATGGATTATATGTAAATCTATAAGCACTCCTCTCCCCGCTTTGCTGCACCGTCGAAGCCCCCCAGCACCGCGGCCCCCACCCCCTGCCACCGCAGTCTTCCTGCCGTTGTTTTCGCGCCGCTTTTGGCATCGGTGAATCCGAGCAAAGCTTTGCCGCGTTTGGCGGCCAGGTCCCGTTTCTCCGACTTGAGCCACAAACAGCCCGGTGCCGTTGTTTGCCGGCCACTCTGAATTTTCGGCTGTTGTGCCCGGGGCCTCGGCAAATGTTGGTTAAGAAAATCTCTCCTCGCGAGGGTCTACGTTGCAGCCGGTGCCGCGCTGTGCAGACGCGAAGCCGTTGGCTCGCTTGCTGGCGAAACGGTGTCCCCTCTTTTTCTGGGCTTGGACCGAATTTTACCCCGATTCGTCAGATTTTCCGCGATGGGCGCGTTTCAAGTTTCTTGAGCCGTCAGCAGTTTGCCGTGATTGAGACCTCCTGACGAGGTGGCGTTGCTCGCGCAGCTGGGATGGACTCCAGGGCTGCGTGCGTCTGGCTCTGTCTCTGGAACCCAGGGATCGTCGGCGCGCTACTGGCCCGCTAATCTGGCGTTGGCCACCCCCCACCCCCCATCCTAGCGAACGCGCGTCGCTTGGCCCCGTCGACCGAAATCTTACAAGCGCCCCTTTTAGACGCGGTGCCTGGCTGCCGGTCTCCCAGCGCGTCGGGGAGCGTGGGGAGAGAGAGACGCGGGTGGAGTTGGGCTCGGGCCCGGCCTCGACGCGCGCCAAAAAATGCGCTTGGACGACGTGTGCCAGTGGGGCGGTGGGGGGGCCCGCGATGAAACCGCCCCCGCCGATCGAGATCAAACCCCTAACGGCGGCGATGGTTAGCCGGGCCCCGGCGGTTGATGCAGTACCGGCGGTGGTACCGCGCCGGTGACCACTATAAAGGGCCTGATCTAGAACCGAATCCCCCATTGCCCCCCACCCCTCCCCACTGATCCCAACTCCCCCGCCCCCCCCCCCCCCCCCCCGCTATACAAGAGCTGCGGCCTTAATCCATAGCCCAGCCGTAACCCCGAGCTTTGCGCCAACTCTTAACTGTAACCGCAGGCGTCGCCGGAATGTTTCTAATCGTGAATCGGTGCCGTTGTTGGCAAACGCGGTCGCGACCGAATGGGCGTGGATGCGCATCGCCGCCTATTCCCGCATTTAAAAAATATGCTGAGCATCACGAAGCAAAGGCGGGGGGCCATCTCAAACGCCGCCTTGTTTGGGGGGGGGGGGACAATTGTGGTGTGTATGTCTCTGCTGCAACTATTATCTTTCATTGTCCATTATTTCCCCCCAGTTCCCCCGGGGAGGGGGCACCTTGCGGCGTAGCTTGGCGGCGTTGACCATCTCGCCGTCGTGCGCGACCGCATTCTTGCCGTGCGGCGTCTCCGCCAACCCCACTCGCTCACTCGCGTTGACTGGTGGTGGCCGTGGTGGGGGCCGTGGTGGTGGCCAGAGGTGGTGGTAGGGGGAGTGAACAAAATACTTTAAGACTTTAATCCCCAATAAAAGAGAGTCAATACGTGGGTGACGACAGACGGTTTTGGGGGTCGCAGCCAATCAGTCGGCCGCGTGTACAGCGTAGTCGTTGTAACTTGGCTGGTATTGTACGGAGAACAGAATCCGTCGTTCGATTTAGAAGAAAAGTTAAATCTGCTGTGGTCTTCAGATGACTTAATAAGAGCGCCACTCGGTGAGTCGACCTGGTGAACATTTAAGGGTTGTTTGTTGACAATTCCCGACGTTGCCCTGTGTGCGGGCAATTGTTTCACGTGACCCCTACAGCCACTAGGGGCGCTATTATATTCAACGCAGATGAAATAAATCGTCGGTGGTTTTAGGTCTGCATTGTTTCACGTCAAACTAGAGGCACATAATAACAGACTTACACAGGGAGATCCAAACACTTCCATAGACACCCAAAGACCTATACAGTGTCCTTTATTTAACCGGATGAGATTCCAGATAGTTGAATAGACTAGCACAGAGACCCAATGACTTAACCTACCGATCCATCGACCTACATAGAGGCCTACAGAATGTATAGACGTCCCTTAGACTTGCGTGGAATCGTGGAGGGGGTGACTGTGAAAAAGAGCTTTATAGCTTATCGGATTCCTCCAGTATCAATAAATATTCAGATTCTGAGCCGGATGTTGTGTATTAAATCTCATATTACGCTATCTCCCACCACTCCTTACCCCCCCCACATCCCCCAACCGCCCCCCACACCCCACTGCCCCGTGCCCTCCCACCCTCTGTGAGCTCAGGTTCTGCGTCACGGCGTGGGGTTGTCCAGCACCTCGGACAGCGAACTCATCACTCAGCTGCTGGCGCTGACCCCGCCCGGAGAGGAGCCACACGGGCCCGACTGGGTGGCAGCGGTGGGCCCCACGCGCCGGCTCGCTCGCTCCCTCGCTGCCCATCGCTCGCCTCGTTCAATTGCTCGCCATCGCTCGCTCACTCGCGCGCTCGTCCGCTCATTCACTCGCTCGCTCACCAAATCGCTCACCCAATGTCGAATGTTCGCTCGCTGTCCGGAGCTCAATCGCTCACTCACCCACTCGCTCACTCACCCACTCGCTCGATGGCTCACTCACCCACTCGCTCACTCACCCACTCGCTCACTCACCCAACGCTCACCCACTCGCTCACTCGCCCACTCACCCACTCGCTCACTCACCCACTCGCTCGATCGCTCACTCATTCTACTCGTTTGCTCAGTCACCTACTTACTCACTCACCCTGAATCGCCCTCCTGCTCGCTCGCCCAGTCACCATCACTCGCTCACCCTCACGCTAGCTGGCTCGCTCAATCACTCTCCATTGCTCACTCGCTCCCCCCACACGCTCGTTACCTGGCCGTCACGTGCTCGCCCACCTGCTTGCTTGCACAATCGCTCGCCATCGCTCACTTGTTCGCTTACCCACCCGCTCGCCCGCTCACTCGCTCAACACATCTCTCTCGCTCGACCACAATGACATCATCGTCAATGTTTAATAAACGAATACTCGCGTACGGCACCTGGGTCCTAAAACGTGGCTGACCCCCACCTCACCCTTGACCTCGCCCAGCCCACCCTTGACCCCGCCTAGCCCACCCTTGACCCCGCTTACCCGATGCTCGACCCCGCCCACCTCACCCGTGGCGTCTCTGCGGCCACCCTGGCAGGATCCGTAACCTGATGGAGGAGACGCGCGCCGCCTACTCGCTGCTCGTGATGCACGACGACGTGATCTACGCGGTGCGCGACCCCTACGGGCTCCGGCCGCTCTGCCTGGGCCAACTCGTGCCCCCCTCGTGCATGTCCTCCCCCGGTGCGTGCGTCCGCCCATCATCTTTTATCGTACAAGATTGCCCACGACCGCACACGGCCGCTCACGACCGCCCACGACCACCCACCATTACAAACCTGTCTCCAATGGTCCTAGAGAATGATGTTCAACATACATACATCACGCGCACCCTTACTCCACACGCTCGCCCCGGCTCTGTCCCCCCCCCCATGCTCCCACTCTAAACGAGTGCCCTTTCTCACCCACGCTCACGTTACTCGACTCGTGCTGTTAGGCCAGAGCAATAAAAAAAAAAACGCATCCCTTGCAAAAAATAGATTTCTAGTCTTACCGGGTTCTCGCTTGGTTGAGGCATCTGTCCGTCTCCGTTGTAAGTAGGGTAGCGATTTGCAATAGGCAGTTCAATTTAATCCCTGTGCGAAAAGTGAATTGCTTTCGCAGGCTTTAAAAAGTCCTTTTAATTACGGTCGCGAGCTTAACGTGTCCGCGATCGGCTGACTGGCGGCTCGCCGTGCTGTTGCGCCCAACCACCACTCTTCCCACACCTCCGGTGAGCACGATTGGCTACGTACAGTGCAAAAGAGGTTCAACAAACGTACATTTCTGTTTTTCATAATAATGTTACGGGTTAAATTTCTATCGCGTCGGTGTCGTCGTTTATACAAATCGCATCTCGCAATCGCCCAGCTGGAAGTCATCGGCAGCAGCCAGACGCTGAGCCGACGCCAACAGCAATTTCACAAACTCTGCGTTTCTCTTTGTATTTGGATGTTTTCAGCCAATTGATGAGTGTTGATACGTGCGGGAGGAAACCAGAGTACATCAAGAAAGCCCTTGCATGCGAGGAGGAAACACGATATCCGTGGGGAACCTTTTTTCTGCCAAGGGCCATTTGGATATTTATAACATCATTCGTGGGCCATACAAAATGAACAACTGAAAAATTAGCCTGTTATTTTGGTCAAACATTTCATTAACTTGCCCCTGGAACAGACCAAATGATTAAGGCCCGCGGGCCAGACGTTCCCCACCCCTGCACGCCACGCTCTGCTATGCTGCCATCTCCTGGTGAGCCAGGGTACATTGGTGCGGTGATCCGCCAACCCTCGCTGCCTCCCAACAGCGCATGATTACAGGCCACGTACGTAGCTACCACCACCGCTCGGCTATCGCAACACTAGACCCATGTTTATTTAGCGCTTTCGCACGTGGGTTGAAAACATTCCGTAACACGGGGGGACAGCGATTTGAGACGCACTGCGAACAAAACTTTTGGGCAAATTTGCGTTGCTATTACGGACACATTGATCGTGAGAGCAGCCAGAACTTGTCGACAAAACACCAGCGGTGAAACGGGGACCTGTCTTGGCAGCCAAGGTGTGCGGCGGCTCCCCTCGCTTTGCGATGACGTCATGGTGCGCGCGACGTCCTCTCGAGAAGTTGCGCGTCATGTGCCACGTGACCTGGTCTCGTTGGTTTGTAACGTTTTCATCGCGAATCAAACACTTCCGAGGATGAAAAGCGTTACAGAATTAATGCGCATGCGTGATTTTTCTCTCTTTCTTTTTGCTCGCCAGGTACCAACGTGGAGGGTGACACCGAGGGCTGGGTCGTCTCCTCCGAGTCCTGCAGCTTCCAGTCGATCGGGGCCAGGTCAGAGGTCAGGGGTCAAGAATTTGGTGGCGCGGGTCGCGGCCTCGTAAGCGTTCTCGCGCGCGCGTGCCGCTTTAACGACGCTCGTGCCGCGCAGGTTTTACCAGGAGGTGCGTCCCGGCGAGATGGTGGCGATCAGCCGGGGCGGGGTGCGCTCGCTGGGCGTGGTTCCGCGGCCGCACGCCGACCCGCCGGCGTTCTGCATCTTCGAGTACGTCTACTTCGCCCGGCCCGACTCGGTCTTCGAGGGTAGGTGGCGCACCGCAGGACGAAGGAAACGTTTGCGTCGTTTATTAAAAAAATAATTAATAGCTACGCACGTTAAAATTGATCGTGTTTGTTTACATTCGCCATGGAATGCAAATATTGTGGCTGCCGGCCCGGAGATGTCGGCCGCTAGCTCGCTCACCCGCTCCCTCGAGCGCCGTTGTTGACGTTCGCTTGGTGGCGTTGCCGTGATGCTGTTGACCCCGCAGGTGGAGAGGGCGGCCGTGTTTGTCCGGCTCTGACCCCGTGATCCTCTTAGCTGAGTGCCACCGTCGTCGTCGTCTGTTATTGTTGACGTTCGCGAAGCCAGCGCTGTTGGCCCTGACCCCTCGTTCCCGCCCCCTCGTCCACACTGCCTGGAGCAATTCGCCGCCTTTGTCTCCCCCGCGCTGATGTTTACTCTCCGCGCTGGGGACTCATTTTAGGCCGAGTCGACCTAGGATAGCTCAATTCTCCGGGTCCGTAGCGCAGCGCGCTAATCTCTGCACGATTGTTAAACAAGCTCAGACGCACGCATGCGCAAGCCGCCGTCCAGTTCCTCGGGGTGACTCCGCCTGTCCCCATTCCCCCCACCCCCCACCCGGCAGGCCAGATGGTGTACACGGTGCGGCACCGCTGCGGACAGCGCCTGGCCACGGAGGCTCCGGTCGCCGCCGACCTGGTGAGCGCCGTGCCGGAATCGGCCACGCCTGCCGCGCTGGGATACGCCCAGGAGGTGGGTGGACGCGCGCACGCACGCACGCACGCAGGTGTCGTGCGTTATCGTTAATATTACTATTATTGCGCCTGTTTACCTGGGAAAACGAAAGCCTTGCCGAGTCTCTTCTCAGGAGGGTCCTGCTAAGCTTGCGCAGTCGAGGGAATCTTGGTGACCACTTCGATGTTTAATCCAAATTGAGTCATTTGGGTGGCCAGCACCACGCCCGACCGATTTTGTCTCCCCAGTGGCAATGTTTACACACTGCACCAGGTACTCATTTGAGGCTTAGTCGACCTAGGGGAGGCCCAGGACCGGTTCAGATAATCATCACTGGTGTTGGCCATAAGCGGGAATTGAACTCGAGTCGTCGGGTTCGTAGCGCAGGGCGCTTATCGCTGCGCTCACGCACGCACGCTCACGTTACACACGCGCACACACGCAAGCCCCCGGTGCCCGTCCGTGCGTGGCCGCAGTCGGGGCTGCCGTACGTCGAGGTGCTGTGCAAGAACCGCTACGTGGGCCGCACCTTCATCCAGCCCAACACGCGCCTGCGCCAGCTCGGCGTCGCCAAGAAGTTCGGCGTGCTCGCCGAGAACTTTGCGGGCAAGCGCGTGGTGCTCATCGACGACTCCATCGTGCGCGGCAACACCATCGCGCCCATCATCAAGCTGCTGCGAGAGGGTGGCGCCAGCGAGGTGAGGGCACGAGGGGGGAGCGCGCGCGGCGCCGGGAGCGCGGACAGAGTCGAGTCCCGGAGAGCGACCTCCCGCTCGGATCGCAGAACGAATTTGTCGCACCGGGGCCCACGCCCGTCGCGCTACATCGCCGCTGCGATCCTGCGCCCGCGGTTCGACGCGGCCCGCGGGAGGTAAACGGCGACGTTGCGATTTCGCTCGCTCCCCACCGCCCGGCGAGCCGCGCTGTTTGTCGAGGGCGGCAATCCACCCCCCGACCCGTGCTCCGCAGCCAAGGTCAGAGAGAAGAGCCGCGCCTCCGTGGTCTTCGTCCGCCCCCCCTGCCCCCCCCACCCCTTCTCCCCGCCGCTCGCCCCGCTCGCGGTGAAGTCGTTGAAGATCTGGGGACCGAGCGAGGGGAGGAAAAGCCCCGGCCTGCTCCTCCGTAGGTGCCACGTGTCGTGGTGACTGCGGCGGGGATGACGACCTCCGGGTGGTGGGCGCGCCACTCCGCTTCATTCATGCAGGCGGACGCGCCAACAATTTATAACTTTTACCGTTCCAAATAGCGAGTTTGTTGCTTTTAGTCATCGTTATTTGGTTACATTTCACGCAGCGTTTGCCGCGATGGTTTTGTTTACACGTCGGGATTTGTTGTATGTTTTTTTTTTAGATTCTGGGCTTCGTGGCTCCTAGCTATTGTACGTTTATGTAAGTCTGTGTGTCTCTGTGTTATCCTATGACGTTCCTCTGTAAGCTCGTGGGTTTTATGTAAAGTCCATTTTATTATCTGTGCGAGTCTACAGGTCTTTGTGTGCGATCTCCATCTCACTAGACTTCTGGTCTCTGTCGGCTCTACACAGCTCATGAAGGTTCTCTATCGATCTCTCTCCACCTCTCGATTGATCTGTCATTTTGCTTGTCGACCTAAATATTAATCTGTCTCGCGCCAAGAGAGTTCCCCGGGACTTGTCCATGGTGCTGAATGTGGGAATGTGGGGGAGGGAGGGGTGGTGCGGGGGGTGTCGTGTGTGTGGGACGTGCGTGCCGGGCCTGACCGCGCCGTGCCGCTCCGCCACCGCCGCAGGTCCACGTGCGCGTCGCCTCGCCGCCCGTGCGACACCCGTGCTACATGGGCATCAACATCCCGACGCGTGAGGAGCTCATCGCCAACAAACCCCAGTTCAACTCCCTCGCCAGCCACCTCGGTGAGGCCGCGCCTGACCGCGGCCACGCCCCGCGTCACACCGAACTGCACCACGATCGCACCACGATCGTGCCGCACCACGATCGCGCCACGCCACGCCGCGCGGCACGCGCTGCGCCGCGCTGGGCTGCAGTGCGTCGGGCCACGTTGAACCGCTTGGCACCGAATTGTTACGCCGCACCGAATCGTAGCGCGCTGCGCAATGCCACGCAGGACTATAGTAATATCTTGAACTTGCGACGCGGCCGCACAGTATTCGCTCGCGGAGAGCGAAACGACTCAAAGGTGCAGGGAACCTCAGACAAGCGGGGAAAGACATCAGGCCACGCGATGAGCCGCTGCTACTTAGCAATTGCCCAAGCTCTGCTGTGTTTCATATAGTAAGATGTTTTGAGATAATGAATGACTGTTTGTACATTGCGAAGGAAATCGGAGCTCACGCGAGCGAGGGGACAACACTTTAGTCCCGTGCAGAAAGGGCAGATATTGGTAGGCACTTGACAGTGTGGCAAGTCAGGGAATGGCACCGCCTCGACGCCTACGAGAAGGAAGTTTCACAACATCGGTGCGGCGATCCACCAACCCTGGCTGGTTCTACAGCAGTCGGGTCGTAGGCCGCGTCCGTAGCCACCACCGCCCGACAACGCAGAAAGCACGCAACGTCACAACGCCGCGCAACACCGATCCACGCAGAATTCCGCCACATCGCGACCCAACAAACCACTCACCGCTCGTCACGGCACACGCACGCCTTGCACGGGGAGGCAGCGAAGAGGGCGGCGATTTTTGTAATGGAAACACGGACCGAGAAAACAACGGCGCGGGCTTAACCGCTATCGCGGGTCGTGGTCCCCGACCTCAACGAGCATCGCGGGTCATCGCTGTCACAACACACCACTGCGTAAGGCCTCGTGTTTATAAATAATCTAAAGTAAAGGTCAATAGGTTCAAGGCCAGCGCCGCTCGGGACCTCCACATCGCTTCCGTGTTTTGTGGGACGGCCGAGTTGACCCCCAACGGTCCGCTCTTTGTTACGCCGCACAGCATTCAAGGATCTCTCTCATCATCACCACCACCACCATCCTGGCCTTAGGTCTCCATCGTCGTGCCAGATTCGCGCTGCCGAGAAGCTCGCGGTGCCTCTTTGCCGCTCGTTTTTGCCGCGTGCCGCGCGACGCGAAGTCGTGGGTCGCGTGCGCTCGTCACCTCTGCCTTACGCCGACCCATGTCTGTCTCCCCCCCCCCCTCCCCACCCACCCCCCTACTACTACCAATCATTCTCTCCCACAACTGCACGCAGATGCCAACAGTGTGGAGTACCTGTCCGTGGCAGGGCTGCAGTGGGCTGTGCAGAAGGGCATCAAGCACGGGGGCAACGTCCCGGTGACGGCCGTGCAGCTGGAACCCGATGACGACCGCGACCACGACGGTCGCGAAGTGGCCAACGGCTCGGCAGGCTCCGGTCACTGCACCGCCTGCCTGACGGGGAGCTACCCCGTGGAGCTTGAGTGGTGACCGCCGCCGCCGCCGCGTTGGCGCCACGTTGGCGTCCCGGTTGCACCGCGATGGTAGCGACGCTCATGAAGTCGTCGCGAGCGTGCGGCCGTGGCAGGCTGGTGGGGGAGGGCAGCGGCCACGTGGCAGAGAAGCCCTTGGAGCTATGGAGGCCTGACCCCCACCCCCCGCAAGCGATGGACGATGTGACGGAGAGACGCAGCACGGTGTCCCGTTCCCCGAGTAGTGGGAGAGGCGTCGATGCCACTCGAGATACAGAAGCCCAGCTGGTTGCTTGCTGCGTAGTTGCTGTCCCTCCCCCCGAATGCGACACGAAGTTTTGTTGTTATTTTTGTAATTTAGTGCCAAACAAAAATGCAACTGGCGGTAGAGATGGCGCAGGAACTCACAGACTGCCCTTTGCAGCCCTCTGTCGAAGCTAAACGGTGAAACTATCCTGAACGTAACTTTGTTGCATCATTCAATTGTTGTCCTGCTTTGAACTTAATGTTGGGCCTTGACACCAGCCCACCCCACTCCCCTCTGTGCAGCCCTGCCACAGGAAGCCTGGCTGTGAATCTAGGAAAGTAAAGGCAGCTTGATAACCTATACACAAATCAAACAACTCTTCAGGAAAATTTTAAAGGAAAAAAGGTGCGCTTTAAACCATGATTACATTTTAATGCAGTGTTCACAAACATCGAGGCGTCTCATGCAACGACAAGAAATGCAGCCATGTTGGTCCAGGTTCATTCGATTACCACGTGGCCCATTCGAATCAATCAGCGCAATATTGCTCGTACAAAAAGACAACATAATGCTAGAATAACAGTTGCTTCGAGTTGCGGACCTAAATGCAACTTTTATTTCCCTCGGTGTTGCATCCTTTTCTTAAAAAACAAAACTCTATGAAAAGGGCAAAAAGCACACGGCAACAGCATTTGTTGCTAGCAACGTTATTGCAAGAGAAACAAAAACTTGCACTGTGTTGATCTTTGTACTTCATCTCAAAGAGGCGTCAATTGTAGCAAACCACTGGTGGCGTGTGGCACCAAACGGTGAATGTGGCGGTGCAACTCAAGAGGCCAGATAATGTTTCCCGAGACGAGTTGGCGTCGCCTGCCTTTGCCGCCATCAAGTTGATTTCTCGTCGTTGCTCGGAATGCGCGACGACGGGTTTTGTCTTGTTGCGAATGTGTTTTTAAACAAAGTTCATTTTGTGATGACGGTTTTGTTTTTTGGTCAATTTGAATAAAAAAGATGTTACATTATTTTGTTGCGAGTCCTGCCAACAGCCCGCGTGTGGTTCACGCGCGTGGGTGGTGCCGATTCAAAGCGTCGGAGGTAGAGATCGTGAAATCCCGAGCGCTGCGGACATCGCACAGGAGAAGCGGTGGCCAAGATGACAGGAGCTGCTACGAGTGTTGGGCCAGTGAAGTGGCTCGGCGGTTGCGCGTTTTGCCGCTTGTTACACGGGAATCGTGGTTCGAATCCGGTCAGCCGCCCCGGTAAATGCGGGTGTGACCGCTAAATTATCGCCGGTCTGCTTTTCAGCGGGCATTAAAGATCCCGTGATGTCATTCGAGATTGAAGAGGAGGCGACTGCGTGCCGGTGGCGTCATCCACATTTTGTCCAGGTGCTGCAGGAGTCACGTGCCACAGGTTCCACAGGTGCAGCTGTCACGGAACGAAAACTCACCCTGGCCGTCAACTGGGCCAAGTTGTCTTTCACAACCTCTTCTCGAGGGGCGCGGTGGTTGGGGGATTCCCGCTCGCCCTGTCGGTGCATTCTGGGATGACCGACAAACAAGAAAACAAATGGGCGGCGAACAAAAGGCTGTGTGCCCACGTGTGTGCCACGTGTTCGAAAACCGTAAGATAACCTAGTGTTCCATTTGTGGAACACGGCCTCTTATCTCTGGCAGAGCAAGCCGCTTGTTTACTGCTGCTGCTGACGGAGGTTGGGAGGGGAACGGGACAGCGCGTGTTTAAGGCTCTTTCATGTATCGGTGGGGTTTATGTTTTTTAAGGCGGGGAAAGCGTCAAGAACGTTGCCGGAGTTTGAGAAAGTTTGGCCCGTCGGCCTGCCCTCGACAGGAGCTCGCCTGCCCCTTTAAGTGAAACGTCTTCTCACTCGCCTGACGATGTATCGCTTTGTCACCAACACGTATCTCCATCTATCCATCTTAGTTTGTCTGACAAACTCTTGATCTATTAATCGATCCATTTATCGCTGTATCCACGAATGTGTCAATCGCTCTTCGTATGTCTGACCACAAGCTTGGCAGCAGGTTATGGTAAAAGTGGTTTAATTTGAAATGTAAATATACAGAAACGTATATCGCTTTCACTGCAGCGTAATTAAATCCGACAGGCGGGGCTCACCTCTGGCGGTGCTGTGAACCAGTGGCGACAATTCCACAGTCATATGGCAGGACCAAGTGAATCGTTCCTAGAACAGCCACTCATCCGGTTATCGGTCTCGCGACCTCCGGATCTGCCTCGAGTGGCCTCTTTGTCAAGGCCGTCGCTCGAACGTCCCTCCTTTAAAAACAAATATACATCACAGTAGAAGAAGAAAAACAACACTCGTTCTGTATTCGCGGTTTCCGACGCATGCATGCGGGGCTGCCCATAGGGAGGGGGGAGGTGGAGGGGGTGCGGCGCCCTTGGCAAATCACGCAGCGTGCGCCCCCCGACGCCTTCAAAGCGAACGGGAGGTGATCGCTTCTGGCACCTTGACGCCAAATCGCGGGGCCCGGAGCTGTCGCCCAGAGTCGCCGCGGCCCCCCAGGGACGGCAGTGCGTGCGCGGTGAACGTTTCCCACAATAAACACCGCCCGGAGGTACGGGGCCGTTCGTGTTCTTCGTGACGGAGGTCCACTCCGGTCGGAGAATGACGGCGTTGGCCGGGTAGGCACGGGGAAAAGCACCTCGCGTGTTGGTGGAGTGGGGGGGGGGTCTCAAAACAGATTGAACGGTGGGTACCCCCAGCGTCGGATTGTCCTAGTTAGCACACGTGTAGCTACTACACGTGTAGTAGCTACACTTGCTACGGGCCCCGCACTTTCAAGAACTCCGCACAATGCTTTCAAGGTATCAATTCCGGTTCTGTGATTCCGCACTTGTTCTACTACTATAGTACTATACTGCGCTGTAACTTTCATGAACGACTGGGTGTTTTAAGGTTAGCGATTTGTCGTATTATATGGCTGTATAGCAACGAAAATACAATTTACTTTGCTATGCAAGTAAAAATGTAATTTTTTTAATATAGGGCCCCTTTACAACATCATATGCTATAGGCCCCGCACTCGCTTCATCCGGCACTGGCCACCCCAGGGGGCGCTGAGTATCCCAGGTGGCACCGGGGCCCACACTTATTATTGAATGAATTCTCCCGCGCCTCTGCCCATGTCTTTGTTTGAAAGTTGAATTCGTGCCGCGCTCTCAACGTTAACGAACAATATCCGAGTGTCGTCAGCTCGCGAGATTTGATGGAGCGAATTCTACTTTTGTCGTAATCGTCTCCGTGCGTGCGAGGATGTCACGGCGACACGGCGCCCATCACGCTGGCAGTAGCCCCTCCATCGCGGCACGCTCATTTGTTCAACGAAAATGAATTATTGACGCGTTCGCAATCGCCTTGGCGATAACAACCGAGAGTCGCCGCCTGCGTCCCCCGCTGTTCGCTCGCGGTGACGACCACGTCGGCCCTGGGCCGCTGCACGGCTAGAGAATTCCACGGCAGGTTTGAAATAGCGCCACGCGGCAGAGAAAGTGGTTAACCCCCCCCCCCTCCCCCACCATGGGATTTGGTGACTGTAAAGCAGAAATTTTCGTTTTGTCCACAAGGGTGGTCTCGGCGTTGGCATGAGTTGAACTTTCGACTGTAAAATCCCACTGATGAGAGTCTCCACGTGGGAAGAGCCCCGGAGACACCCCACCACCACCCGTCACCAGGGACAGCACCGCCGAGACACGCGTCACGGCCCCGCGCCTACAACCCCGGGCGAGCCTGGCGCATGCCACCGTCCGAGCTCTGTCGAGGCTGAAACCTTGCTGCGCTTCGCTTCCAACATCCGACGAAACAGGGCGGCTCCCCGGATGATTTTGCGATAGGCGTCAGTGTCATAGGAATGTGGAATTTCCACCAAGGGCTCGGCACCTCCCAACGGACAGAGGTGATCGCTGCTCTGGGCTCGTTTGAGCATCGGAGCCTCTTGGACGTATTCCCAATGTGCGGTTCGGAAAAAAAATCATTCGCAAATGAACTTTGACCCTGCATCTCATGAACGGTTTGTTAATTATGATTCACGAAGCGTGGTGGCGGCAGGGCCGACATAGAGGGAGGTCGGGAGGGAGATGGAATGCACGGAGGGAAAGAGGAAGAGAGGAGGTTGAGGGATAGTGGAATGGAGGGAGGGATGAAGGAAGAGGAATGGATGGAGAGATCAATGAAGGGAGGAGGGATGGTGGGAGGGAGGAGAGAGCGAGGTGGGAGGGTAGAGGGCACTGGCTGATAAGGCAGTGGGCACATATAGCGTGGTGCACTGGCAGGAGTGATCGCGACTCAACAGCAACACCCAGGACCACCCCTGAAACCCAGCGGCTCCCAGCACCCCGAGGGAGGGGTCCCAGTCCCCGCGGGGTCTCAGTGCCCCTGGAGGTGATCGCCGTGGCAGACCTGCTGGCCACGTCTTTTCGAGCGCAATCTCGGAGACGACTTCTGTCATCGACTGAAGCATGGGCAACGTTAGAGTGGATGACTTCGTGGCCGGGTGGATTGGAGGTGAGTTGTGAGTGGGAGAGGGGAGGGGGTTCGTGGGGGCGGGGGGTAACGAGAGGTGGGGGGGGTTGTTACCTGCTTGTGGTCACCTGTGCACGGCGTATGGTTAAATGTTCGCAGCTTGATCAAAAGTCCTCGTGTCACGAGGCATCGTCCGATTCCAAATCCAATTGCGTGTTGTGACGGAAATGGGGGCTTTGCGAGATAAAGTGGCTGTTGTTGATGTAATGGGCGCCACGGTGGCGAGATGCTAACAACCTCGCCTGGTAGACAAGAGGGTGTTGATTCGATCCCGACCCTGACGCCTGCTGTATATTTGGAGTTTGCGTGTTCTAGACGCGGTCGTTTGGATTTTTCTCCGGGTTTAGAAACACGCGTTTCGAGCATTTGTCTGCTATAAATGTCTACTTGATAAGCCACTTCGTTGAGCTATCATTTTGGCCAGGTCGCTTCGGAAATAGAGCTACATAGCTCAGTGAGCCTTACGTGGTGAAATAAAATGAAAAGAATTGAACAAAAAAAAGTTGTATCTTTATCCGCAACAACCTCGCTGAGTCTCAAGACACTTTTTCACAAGCGTCTTGCGATTTTGGGACGTTTGGCCAATTTATATAAACATACAAGCTGCCCGCACGTCCATTGGACGTGACTGTCCGATCCTATCGAGTGTGCAGGCGGTCCAACTGCACCGGCACCCACAAGACAGAGGGGGGAGGGGGGATCAAGTGCAAGGCTATGAAGAGGGGAAATTGGACAGGGAGGTGCCCATTTAATTCCATGTACCAGGGCCCATGCCAACCACGGCACTGTCACTGAATTCATGCGAGAGATTTCGTCAGATGTATGTAGGACTTTTTTCGCACCGTACGTAGCCAGCCGTGCTAATTGGAAGTGCGGGAGGACAGCATGATAGTGGGACGTAAGAAAACAAAGGCACATACCTCGCGCATTCACATAGCAGACTGTTGGGGAAAGAATTGTTAGCGAGCACCCACGAAAGCCGCCGACACGGCACACAGGGATGTGGCGATGTTTACACATCGCACTACGTACTCATTTGAGGCTCTGTCGACCTAGGGAAGGCCCAGGACCGGTTTAAATAATCGTCACTGGTGTTGGCCGTGAGCGGGAATCGAACTCGGGTCGCCGGTTTTGTCGCACAGTGCGATGACCGCTCCACTACCGCACACACACAAATCACTGACACAAATCACTCACACAAATCACTCACACAAATCACTGACACCAATCACTGACACCAATCACTGCTCAAGCAGTAGCAGCGGCGGCGATGTTCAGAGATGGGCATCGCGATGCGTCTCACACCTGCGTGTCCCCGGATGTGTGTCTGTGTGTGTGTCTGTGTGTTCTCGTGTGTGTCTGTATTATCGGGTGTGTGTCTGTGTGTGTGTGTCTGTGTGTGTCTGTGTGTGTGTGTCTGTGTGTTCTCGGGTGTGTGTCTGTGTGTGTGTGTCTGTGTTATCGGGTGTGTGTGTGTATCCCTGTGTGTGTCTGTATCCCTGTGTGTGTGTATCCCTGTGTGTCTGTATCTCTGTGTGTGTGTCTGTATCCCTGTGTGTGTGTGTGTCTGTATCCCTGTGTGTGTGTATCCCTGTGTGTCTGTATCCCTGTGTGTGTGTCTGTATCCCTGGGTGTGTGTCTGTGTGTCTGTATCCCTGTGTGTGTCTGTGTGTGTGTCTGCGTGCGCCACCAGGAGCCTCCAGCGTCGTGGTGGGGCATCCCATGGACACAGTGAAGGTGCGCGCACCCCCTGCACTTGTTGTGCCGTGCCACACATGCGAGCATGACGTTTGCATGTCGACCCTTGTAACCCCATTGTTAAGTCCCTACCATTGTAACCCCATTGTTAAATCCCTACCCTTGTAACCCCATTGTTAAATCCCTACCCTTGTAACCCCATTGTTAGATCCCGACCCTTGTAACCCCATTGTTAAATCCCGACCCTTGTAACCCCATTGTTAAGTCCCTACCATTGTAACCCCATTGTTAAATCCCTACCCTTGTAACCCCATTGTTAAATCCCTTCCCTTGTAACCCCATTGTTAGATCCCGACCCTTGTAACCCCATTGTTAAATCCCGACCCTTGTAACCCCATTGTTAAATCCCTACCATTGTAACCCAATTGTTAAATCCCTACCCTTGTAACCCCATTGTTAAATCCCTACCATTGTAACCCCATTGTTAAATCCCGACCCTTGTAACCCCATTGTTAAATCCCTACCATTGTAACCCCATTGTTAAATCCCTACCATTGTAACCACATTGTTAGATCCCGACCCTTGTAACCCCATTGTTAAATCCCTACCATTGTAACGCCATTGTTAGATCCCTACCCTTGTAACCCCATTGTTAAATACCGACCCTTGTAACCCCATTGTTAAATCCCGACCCTTGTAACCACATTGTTAAATCCCTACCCTTGTAACCCCATTGTTAAATACCGACCCTTGTAACCTCATTGTTAGGTCCCTATCCTTGAAACCCCATTGTTAAATCCCGAGCCTTGTAACCCCATTGTTAAATCCCGACCCTTGTAACCCCATTATTAGGTTCCTACCCTTGTAACCCCATTGTTAAATCCATACCATTGTAACCCTATTGTTAAATCCCTACCATTGTAACCCCATTGTTAAATCCCTACCATTGTAACCCCATTGTTAGGTCCCTACCCTTGCATTCCCTACACCATTGGGGCAGCACGAATGCAGCACGGCCCCCTGCATCGCTGTTCTTGCAGCACCGCGCATGCAGCATCCCTTGCAGCACGACCGTCATCGCCCTACCCTTGCACCTCAACCCTTGCGTCTCACTGCGTCCACCCTCAACCCGTTAGCGCCGCCCTTGCATCACTTGCAGCACAACCGGCATCCCCCTACCGTTGCATCTCAACTCTCCGCTTGCATCGCGAACACTGTACAGCACGAGGCCTTGCAGCAGCATCCTTGTCCCCCCCCCCCCCCCAACGCTTGCAGCGCCACATACGCACATTAGACCCTGAAGACCGAGCACTGCGAGTTGCAGTGACGAGAGAGAGAGACAGCGCGGTGGGTGGTTCCAAAGTCGCGGTTTGAAATTCTCGCCATTAACTTTCCACATTATAGCGGGTGCGATTGTACTAAATCATCCATATTAATCAGTCGTGGAATTGTCGCGCAATGATCATAATAATATAATTACGCGGCACCATGTGCGCGCGACTTTTGAACCCCTCCCCCCCACTGACAAATATGTATGCCGAGTTATGAAACACAAAGCCCCCCCCCCCGGTGTGAATGATTAACGTGGCAGGTGACGGGCGTCTCCGCCCCACCCCCACCACCGATGTAAAATCCCAAATGCGGCCGCGTTCCTGGCGCTCGCCCCGAGCGCGTGGACGCGGCATCGATCGTTACCCGTGTCCTGTGGTCACCTGGTCTCCTTGGGCACGCGTCACGCGTGCACGTGTTCGTGCGACTGCGCGTGGCGTAATGGGGAGCGGTGACGCAGCGGCAATAGCGCCATGCGATACGAACCCGGCCCACCTGAGTTCGATTCCCGCTCACGATCAATAACAGTGACGAACATGTGAACCGGTCCTGGACCCCTTCCCAAGGTGGACTCAGCCTGACATGAGTAGCTTGGTGCGTCATAACAGATGCTTGTGAATACCCCCTCCATCGCCCCCCCAAAAATGTGTGAGAGGCTACATGGGGGATCTTTGTCTTTGTCTGTGGACAGACTCGACTGCAGGCCGCCTCTGGGTACCGAAACATGTTCCACTGCATAACCTCGATCTACAGGAAGGAATCGGTGCGTCTCCACTCACCTTATCCACACACACACACAGATGTATACACATCGTCATCAGGCATGATCAATCCACTGCTGGATGAAGGCATCCCCAAAGCTCTCACGATCCTGCGATACAACGATCCATTCGTCGCCTGCACGCCAGCTGATGTCGTCGCTGCCATCTCCTCGACCTGCATCCATCACCCCTTGTTAGCCACAGCGCTTCCTGTTCAAAGCCACTTCGGTTTTTATAGTTTGGACGATGTCATCGTTGACCTGCATGTGGTCTTCTGATGCACGCGTTCCTCTCTCTGTCTCTCAGTGGCATGCCCAAGCGTGCGTCTCTCCGCGCTTCTCCGCGGCCCTTTTCAGTTTTTCCTTCCATGTTTTTCGTCAATCACCGACGTGCACCGATTTCACGCAAACTTAGCTCGGCCACAATGTCACGGTTCGTTCTCACGATCAAGTCCAACTCTTCACTGGCAACCCCGCACCCGGCTCAAGTTCACCTCTCCATTTCGTCTTCTTGATTTCTGTCTGCCTTCTTACAGCTACACAATTGTCCATACACACCCACAAACACAACATCAAACACATGACGCACGTAGAAACACGCATAGTCATACACAATTGCAATGCGCGAGGAAGAACCACGGACGGGCGGGAAGGCAGCAGCAGCCACGCCGTAAACCGGCGCCAGCAATTCCCGAAGCTCTGCGGTCCTCTGTATATGAAGGTGTTTCCTGTAAGTGAATGATTCATTGTGGCCGCTACATCGCGATTCTGGGCGGCACAGCTGGAGGGAGGGGGGGGGGCGGAAGAGCTGGGGGCAATCGTCATCACAACCTTGGACTGCAAATCGGTCTGGATTTCTGCCAGATTGTGTTTTTCATTTAATAATTCATTAACTATCACACATTGAAAAGAAACCGCTTCGTGGAAGAACGCGGGACCATGCAGCGGACTTTGTGCTAAAACGCGTGAACGGAGTGATGAGCAAACTCCATGAGACTCATCACAGTAACTTTTAGACGACTCTTGGCCAATTCTAACATCTTTCTGTAAAGTATGAGCGCCTGGTGAGACACACGCTCACGTGGTGCGTGCGGTCTGAAACGGAGCCACAGAACTCTGCGCGACGAGATTGCTTCGCCGGTAGAAAACAAAAAAATTAACGAATTTGACCGTGAGGGGGTCGATCGGCGCTCCCATCACGCCCTGCGTGTCCGCGTGACATCGCCGCGTCTACGGGCGCTTTGAAGGCACGTGGCCGTGCCTTGCACACGAGGCCATTTATGTGCTCTAAAGAAGGGCCATTGCCCGAAGCGTCGTGTCTATTATATACTTGTTTGTTTTAAGACCACACACAGTGTTATTGACGAACGCGTGGATTTGTATTGATTTATTTAGCCTTGTTTTAGACCACGAAACCAAATAGTTCAACGACATTTAGTTTTACCAAGTCAGGCTCACTGAGCTATGTAGCTCTTTTCAGAAGCGATCTGACCACAAATGATAGCTCAACAAAGTGGCTTATGACGTGGAAATGTATCACAGCCAAATACTCTAAACGCGTGATGTTCACTTTAAATGTGGAAGGGGAACCCGGAGGACTCAGATAAAAATCCACGCGACCACGGGGAGAAAGACACGCAAACTCCAAATATAGAGCAGGCGGATCGAACCACGACCTCCTGCATACCAGGCGAGGTAGTTAACATCTGCCCCTATAGTGTGAAGGGAGGGGGCTGAGGATATTCCGAGAATCTCTCGTAGACATGCATCTATGCACGAGAGAGCACTGATCATGAGCGATCAGCGCAACAGCGACCCACACCAACATCCCCCTCGGAGCAACGCGAATCACGCTCAAAACAACAACAACAATAATGATAATACATTATGAAACACCCGCACGTGGGACACCATCGGTTCGCTCCCCGTGAGCCTGGAACGAGCGACGTGGATTGAATTAAAGTCTTAAAGCAGTGTTTAGTGCCCCCTGCGCCTCCCCAATCAAGACCCCCCTCCCCCCACCAGCCCCCCGCCAAGGTTACTAAGGTCACATTACAGACAGACGCCACGTGTCCACGCCTCTCGTCGATGCGGTGTGAGTGAGCCATTTGTTTCGCGTTGTGTGTCAGTGTGTGTTGTCGACGCAACCTGTCACCGACGTTCCCCGCTCAGAGCCGAAATTTCTCCTGCACAGTAGCCATGCCGCAGCCTGCGCGCGCCAAAGAAAAACACGCGCCCCTTTAAAGCGAGACCACGACCCGAGTCACGACCCGGCCCTTCTCCTGTCGCCACACACCTAGGCCGTGCCCCAAGGGCCGTTCCTACACGAGTGGGAATAGTCCGTGTTTGTGAAGCAAGGGTGGCTGACAACGCAGCTCCAGACTATAGGGGGAGTGGAGTAGCAGAGGAGTGACGTTATTAAGAAGAAATGGGGGAGGGGGGTGAAGAATAGGAGTCTGCAGGGTACAGAGGGCGACAGAGATGCCAGCATGGTGACCGTGATAGTGAAGAGGCTCCTCGTGGTCACTCAGACGCGCAGGAGGAGTTGAAGGCCTTGAGTCTGGACCTCAATGAGACACGGGGGAGTCGGGAAGTGCCCTTCCTCATTACAGACCAAGTCAGAACGTATTGGTCACCCCGTGCCCTTATAAATATCAACGTTCATCCTACAAAGTCCCATCACAACGGAGAAACACAAATAGACCAACAAAAATGTGCGCGTATTGAAACGGCTGTACGCCGTATGGACCTGGAAACTCCATTTCCCCGTACAAGCATACGGGTGAACGTTATGCGTTGACAGGTATGGAGTGCGGACCAACAAGGAACGGGTGGCAACCCAAACTTCACCGTCCCTCTGCATAATGATCATCCCTTGTGTGCCCTCGCCACCTGCTGGTTGCACGTAGATGGTACATTGAGCGATGACACCCCAACCACGATCTAGTTCAGAATAATAATAATGCACTATCTTCTTGGTTCTTTCGGTAAAGTCACGTAGAAGGGAAATAATAAAATAAGAAAAATAAAACATAATAAAATAAACGTCGTGAGAATTATTTTATTATGTTTTATTTGTATTATTTTATTATTTCACTTCTACGTGACTTTACCGAAAGAACCAAGAAGATGAATCCCTGCAGTCACGAAAGCTTTAAATCGAAATAATGCACTACTTGGATGAAGGCTTCCCCAACACCGCGTTGGGGAAACCATACTTCAGCGCGCTGCGCAGCGCCGGTTGGTGGAGGGAGCTCAGCTCCTGGACAGCTCCGGCTGACACGAGGCCCTCCACCCACGCTCCCCTCAACTTCACCCTTGGAATGGCCGTACACTGAACAACAGAGGAACACACGAATTAGAGGACCTACGCAGGTTAACGGGTACTCACCTCTGTCAAACTATTAGGAAAACTTTTAAGTGTGGGCTTGGGAAAGACGCGCCACGGCTATTGGGGAAGGGATGATGGCGGTGTTCGTCAACAAACATTTGCGGAGTGGCAGCCAAGGAATGTAGAAGAAGAGGATGGAACGACGACATCAGCTCGTGGTGCAGTACCTGCTGGGTGGATTATTACATCGGCTCGGTGGGTAGGCCTTCATCCAGCAGTGGATTGACCAAGTGCCGCATTAAGCTAGTGTGGGGCCTGTAGCATATGTTATAAAGGGGCCCTAAAATATATATATTAAAACAATTTTTTAATTGCATAGTTAAGTAATTGTTTTTTTATAATTTGCTATACATCCAGATAATGCGAAAAATCGCTCACCTTAAACACCCAGTCGTTCATAAAAGTTGAAGGCGGCATAGTACTATAGTCATAGAGCAAGTGCAGAATCACTGATGATTCACCCCTCCCATCCTGATCTGCCCGCGTGCGGCACGTGACAGGCGCTGTCGTTCTTCAAGGGCATGTCCTTCCCCCTGGCGAGCATCGCCGCCTACAACTCGCTCGTTTTCGGGGTGTTCAGCACATCGCGGCGACTGCTGGAGTCGCTGAGACCCCCCGTGGGCCCCGGCGTCCCGGGGTCTCACCAGCACGCCGCCACCGCCGCCGCCGCCGCCGCGCCGTCGCGCACCCCCGTGTCCGAGCTGATGCTGGCGAGCGCACTCACGGGTGCCGTGTCCGTCATCGTGGGGGCGCCCGTGGACCTGGTCAAGATTCGACTGCAGATGCAGACCCAGAATCTGGGGATCGGTGAGTAGCGAGTCATGGGCAGGGGGGGCGGGGGGGTAGTGCGTTCAGCGACACATTCATTGACCTGGGCGGTGATGGCTACGCGCGTGGCCTGTAATCCAGAAAAGTGGGGGCAGCGAGGGTTTGGAGGATCACCACACACATTTTGTGACACTCCCCTTCCCGTGGATGGGGGTACGAGGAGGTACCGTAGCCCTGCTCGCAAGGAGAAGGTGGCACGGCAAGCATGTGGATTCCACCTGTTTCCCATCTGGATAGGATATAGTGTTCCCCCCTCGCACGCGCGGGTGTTGTCCCGGTGCTCTGGTTTCTGAATCAACTTCTCACCGTGTGTGGACCTTAATTCAAGGTCCGGATTTTACCAAATTATCCGCAAATTACTCAGTTGGGCTTGCACACACAGCAGCAACCACCCCCACGACTGGCAGCAGACTAATGCCAGATTGCAGGCCAGCCGCTGAGTCACCCGGTGCCACACAGAGGAAGCTGCCGCCGAGGGTGCCCCTTTATAAAGCGCTCCGAGACGCCCCGGCGTAAAGTGGCACTCATTTACAAACGAATCATGATTATGCTTTATTATTACGTATTATTGAGAACAAAATGTGGATATCATCATCAGCTCCAATGGTGTTGTTCTTACGCTCCACGCCTCTCCCTCGTGCTCCTCGTGCTCTCCACGTTGCTCCCCCAGGCCTGCAGCCGTGCTCGTTGTACCGGGGCCCCATCCACTGCGTGTGGCTCACGGTGTCTCGCGGGGGGCTGCGGGGACTCTACAGAGGCGCCGGCGCGATGCTGCTGAGGGATGTCCCGGGCTACTGCACGTACTTCGTGCCCTACGTGCTGCTGTGCCAGTTCTTCACCCCCAGCGGGCAGCCTGAGCCCTCCATGGGCGCGGTTTGGGTGGCAGGAGGACTGGCAGGTAACCAACAAGATAATTAATTTCACGTTTGTTTTCTTTTCTTTTTTTATTTTACCAGGTGAGGCCCGCTGAGCTCTATAGCTCTTTTTTTAGAAGCGTCCTGACTATCACAAATGATAGCTCAACGAAGCGGCCTATCATCACGTGGCAATGTATCGCAGACAAATAGTCTACACGCGTGATGTTGATTCTAAATGTGGAGGGGAAAAACCGGAGGACCCGGAGAAAAATCCACGTAACCGCGGGGAGAGTGAACATGCAAACTCCTGATATACAGCAGGTGTCAGGGTCGGGATAGAACCCACGACCTTCCGTATACCAGACGAGGTAGTTAACTTCTCGCCACCGTGGCGCCCCTAGATAAGGCGGATATTCAGAAGATGATTCCGAAGTGGAGCTCTGTTTCAAGGGTGACTTGGCTAGCGGACAGCAGTGGAAGTGAAGTGTTTTATACAGACCTGCCCCTCCACGTACATAACTCAATTCTTATTATTATTATTTACACATCCCCTTCAACCACACGGCCTGGGTCGCCATGCTTTGTGCAGTGGATGCGGTTCAGGGTTGAGGCCCCAGAAGCTTCGTGAAAGAACGAAGCCGGCGAATCTTCTGCTCCGAGTCTTTCACGAGGAGGTGTTTGTGACTTATTGCGAACCACGTGCGGATTTTAAACAACATCATCATCTTCTTGGTTCTTTCGGTAAAGTCACGTAGTAGGGAAATAATACAGCGGCTGCTTGCGTTGTGGCCGAAACGTCGTGAGAATTTTATTTTATTACGTCTTATTTTTATTATTTCCCTTCTACATGACTATACCGAAAGAACCAAGAAGATGAATCCCTGCAGTCATGAAAGCTTTAAATCGAAACATCATCATCATCATAATTGTTTTTTAACCCTTCTATCTGGCAACAAAACTGACACCTTTTTTTACAAGGAGTCATGTTTACATAGACCACAATACCTGCAGTCATAATGCAAACAAAAAACATAACTCTGATAATGTGCACTGTCCTTGAAGTTGATTGGTCCACACCCGAGACAGCTTTCCTTAGAGCCTAGTCTCATCGTTGTGTTGTGGTACAGATCGCTGTTTAATTAACGCCACGCTGTGTGTGTGGGGGGCAGGATCCTTGTCATGGGGTCTGGCTACCCCCTTCGACGTGGTGAAGAGTCGCCTGCAGGCGGACGGGGTTGTGGAGACCAAGTACACGGGGGCCTGGCACTGCGCCCTGCACAGCTACCGCGCAGAGGGGCCCGGGGTCAGTGCTCGCAGCCACACGAAGACTAAGGGGCCGGCCATAAATGACGTCACGCATCTCGGGGTGGGGGGGGGGGTCAGACATTTGTGATTATGTGTGACGAGGGAGGGGGGGGTTTGAGAAATGTGCCGTCACATCAAAATGCGCAACTTTAAATAAATATAGACAACACGTTCTACTTAATTGAATAGACTTTTTTTAATAAATGTTTTCTCCTACAACATCAGAGTGCAGTGCCACATTAAATACGCACTACAATGACAATAGTTTGAAGCGATTTGAAGCATGTTTTATATATTTTTGGGGGGGCAGAGCTTTGTGACGTCATATTTGAGGGGGGGGTCTGACTTTTTGCGACGCCGTGTGACGAGGGGGGTGTCAAAAATCGTCCAAAATCGCGTGACGTCATTTATGGACGGCCCCAAAGACCCCCGTGTAGCCATGCACAGATTGTTGGGGTAAGGGCTGTAAACGAGCCCCTTTGTGAAGGCGGGCCGCGTTTGTCTCCCCACTGCCAATATGTCCACACCCACACACAGTCTTCCACACACACGTGCACACACGTGCACACACGTGCACACACGTGCACACACGTGCACACACGTGCACACACGTGCACACACGTGCACACACGTGCACACACGTGCACACACGTGCACACACGTACACACACACAGCCTGCCACACTCGTGCACACCCATACACACCAACACCCACACGCATTGCGTACACACACACACGTGCTCACATTCATACACACAACCTTGGACAATCAGATATACACACGCACTGGTTACACACATCCATACACTCATCATTACACTCCCATATAAAGATCCCCCGTATAGCCTTAACAGACTGTAGGAGCAAGTGCTGTTAACGAGCACCTATGAAGGCCGGAACGGTACACGAGGGGGTGGGTGGCCAGCCCCACGCCCGACCGCCTTTGTCTCCCTAGTGGCGATGTTTACACACCGCACCAGGTACTCATTTAAGGCTGAGTCGACCTAGGGGAGGCCCAGGACCGGTTCAGATAATCGTCACTGGTGTTAGCCGTGAGCGGGAATCGAACCCGGGTCGCCAGGTTCATAGCGCAGCGCGCTAACCGCTACACTACCGCTCCCCACTATACATACATACCTACACACTCCCACACACTACCAACACACACATAGACACCAGGAAGCATCACCCGTGCAGAGCAATTACGCTGAATGTGGATTCCATCTCACACCTCCTCTCCCATTCCACCTCCTCTATGTCCCTCTATCCCGCTCCCCCCCCCTTTGCTCCCCCCCCCCTTTGCTCCCCCCCCCCTTTGCTCCCCCCCCCCTTTGCTCCCCCCCCCCCCCTTTGCTCCCCCTCCCCCCAGGTGTTTCTCCGCGGTCTCACCGTGAACTTGGTCCGCGGGTTTCCAATGAGCGCCGCCGCCTTCCTCGCCTACGAGCTCAGCCTGCGCGCCATCCGCGACATGGGCCAGGGGGCGGGGCTGTGACCCTCTCGGCGGGGCCGGGGGGGAGGGGGGTGCAGGTAGCTGGGTGGATTGTATGGGATTGTATGGGATTGGTGGAAGGTTGGTGGAAGGTTGGTGGAAGGTTGGTGGAAGGTTGGTGGAAGGTTGGTGGAAGGTTGGACGGCAGAGCCGCCCGGAGGGAGGGAGGGAGGCTGGGTGGGCGAAGCTGACAACGTTGCCCCCGACCTGGGCTCACATAAAAGGAGGGAAGCCCCCCACAACGGAGCTGTTGTTTGTATGTCTCCAACGAATCACGAGGGAGGGCCCCCACGGGACATCCTCACCCGGGCCTCGAGGGAGCCGCGGGCCGGGCTCCGGTGGTCAGAGCGTGGATGGTGGCTCTCACCTGTGTGTGTGTGTCACCTGTGTGTGTGTGTGTGTATCCTGTGTGTGTGTATCCTGTGTGTGTGTGTATCCTGTGTGTGTGTGTCACCTGTGTGTGTGTCCTGTGTGTGTGTGTGTATCCTGTGTGTGTGTCCCCTGTGTGTGTGTGTGTCACCTGTGTGTGTGTCACCTGTGTGTGTGTGTCACCTGTGTGTGTCCCCTGTGTGTGTGTGTCACCTGTGTGTGTGTCACCTGTGTGTGTGTGTGTCACCTGTGTGTGTCACCTGTGTGTGTCCTGTGTGTGTGTGTATCTTGTGTGTGTGTCCCCCGTGTGTCCCCCGTGTGTGTGTCCTGTGTATGTGTGTCACCTGTGTGTGTGTGTCACCTCTGTGTGTGTGTCACCTGTGTGTGTGTCCTGTGTGTGTGTGTCCTGTGTGTGTGTCCTGTGTGTGTGTGCCCTGTGTGTGTGTGTTCTGTGTTTGTGTCCTGTGTGTGTGTGTCCTGTGTGTGTGCCCTGTGTGTGTGTGCCCTGTGTGTGTGTGTTCTGTGTTTGTGTCCTGTGTGTGTGTGCCCTGTGTGTGTGTGTTCTGTGTTTGTGTCCTGTGTGTGTGTGCCCTGTGTGTGTGTCCTGCGTGTGTGTGTGTGTGCCCTGTGTGTGTACCCTGTGTGTTTGTGTGTCCCCTGGCACTCTGCCTGCTGTTGAACACGCGCATCCGGCTCTACCAGTCTGCCAGCCTGCTCTTTTGAGGCCCCCTACCATCTGTCTGTATGCACGTTGAACCTCTATCGCAACGTACGTAGCCAATCGTGCTAAACACGGCAAAAAGCAGTTCTAAAGACATTATCTTTCCAATAAATTAGTTTTCGAGGCAGCAGCCACGCTGTTAGTCGGAGACAACAGTTGGTCAAGCTCTGCGGGCCTCTGTATATGAAGGTGTTATCTACAAATTAACGGTTCATTGTGGCCGCTACATCGCGACCCTGGGCGGCACAGCTGAAGGGGGGGGGGGGGGGCTGTGGGCAATCACAACCTTGGACTGCAAATCGGTCTGAATTTCTGCTCGGTTGTGTTTTTAATTGAATACATAATTCATTAACTGTCACAAATTTAAAAGTAACCGCTTCGTGGAAGAACGCGGGACCGGGCAGCGGACTTTGCGCTAGAAACGTGTGAACGGAGTGATGACCAAACTCAATGAGACTCATTACATTACCTTTAGACGGCTCTTGTCCGATTGTAAAACTTTCTAGAATTGATGAGCGTCTGATGAGCCACACGCACGCCCACGTGGGACTGCTGCTCCCCGTGTTCGCTCCGCTTATAGACAGAGTATCCTGCACCCATCATATAAACCCCCGTTATATTTTTTATAGGTCGTTGGGGTTACGAGCTGTTAGCGAGATACTGTTAAGGTGCCAGAATGGCACGCGATAGGGGTGGGGGGGGGAACTTGTGGCCAGCATCTTACCCAGCCGCCTTTGTCTCTCCCAGTGCACATGTCCACACACCAGGTACTCCTATGTTAAGGCCAAGGATGGCATTTAAATATCATTCGCCACTCATGTTAAATGAGCCGTGGTCGGGAATGAAACGGAGATGCATGGATGTTGACCTTCTTTCGCACCGTACGTAGCCCAACCGTACTAATCTCAGATGGCTGGGGGTTCCTAGCAAAGTGCGCTAACCACTGCACCACCCATCCCTGAACCCCCAACTTGCACGGCCCAGACGAGCTCCGTAACTTGAGAGTCCCGCTCTTATGACTGCCCGGGACAGGCCATGTTGTCCCTAATTGTGTTGGCAAACACGAGTGACCAGAATTACATGACCTACCGAGTCACCCAGAGAGCGAGAGACACGCGTGATGGGCAGGGCAGTGGTGGCGCAGGGGTTTTCAGAGCTACACGCCTATGGCCCCAGGTTTTGAGGGGCCTCTTAAAAATATATCAAAACGAAATCACTTAATATATCAGCAGTGGCCATGGTCAATCCACTGCTGGATCAAATTCTTCCCAAGCCGCCGCAGCTACCTCTCACGATACCGCGATGTTAATTGCTAATAATAGTGCTAATCATCCACCTACCACCGGCACAAGGAGCTGATTTCATAACTCCATCTCTTCGGCGCACGTCCTCTGGTACGCGAGTTCCTTTCAAGGGCTGCCAGGAGCACACTTGAAACGCAATAGTGAGTCACTCAGAGAGCGAGATGCACGATGGGTAATTTGGCAACGAAACGCCCGATTCTGTCATTTGCCAAATTAAAGCCGTCGCATCACTGTGTGCAATTAACGAGTTATGTTCCGACATTAAATCGTTGTCAGTGTCTACACACTTGTACCGTGTGCGACCCCTTTGGTTCAATCCACAGCTGCACTTGAGGGCCTTGGGGCTATTTGACCATACTTGACCACGCTGGTCGGTGGTGCGGGGACGCAGGGAGCATCGGCAGAAGTCCAACACGTCGCGAGCCCTCCCTGGGCTCACGGCGTGGCCCCGCAGCAGTCTCGACAACGCCGCTGTCGTGGCCGTTTTTAGCACCCTCCACGCGAACCCCCCGTCGTCGAGAATGCGAGGTGCGATGCGAATTTATCCACGGGATGAAATGTACGTAATCTTCTGTAACAGAATGAATTTAAAATTGCGTGTTTTTTTTATTGGTCACCCCGTACCCTTAAACATCTCAACGTTCACCCTACAAAGTCCCATCACAAGGGAGAAACACAACCAAATACACCTGTTTGTTTGCCAGTATTGAAACGGCTGTACGCGGTATGGGCATGAAAACTCAATTTCCCTGAACAAGAATACGGGGTAAACCGTAATGGGTTGACAGCTGTGCTTCGACAAAGTCACCGATCGTCCCTTGAGGTCATCCCTCGGCTTGTGCTCGTCTGCCACCATCGTCTGGCATCCCTTTCCTCTTGATGGGCGAGCGGTTGGGATTCTGTCGCCCTGCTGTTTCAAGTCAAGACCACTTAAGACCCCCATTTGTTGTCACGTGCCATATCTATCACGTGTTTTTATTTTTCCTGTGCAGTGTCTGGAGATGCGGTGGCTTTAGACGCTGTTATACAAATGTAAATTGCACTGTAAATGTGGTTGTAATGAAATGATGCTGTATGTACATATTGCTCACTTGTGTAAAATACATTTCGTGCCAATGTAAAAGGGTTTTATACTCGTACACTGCGTTACTATCGGAACATGATCAGTTACTCCACTTTAAATCTGAATAAAAAAACAACTTTTCACTGTTTCCTAAATGCATTTATTCTAGAATGTTTAATCCACTGCTGGATTAAGGCCTGCACACGCCATCGCCACCCCCCCAGTGCTCCACCATGTAACGATCCCAACTCACTCCTGCACACAAGCTCGTTTCGTCGCTCCATCTCCGCAAGCAGACGTCCTCCCGGCCGGCGCGTTTCCCTGCTTTGACTGCTACACAGTCATTAGTCTCGGCCACCAGCCATGCCCATCGTCGTCGTCATCACGTGTTTCCTCCGGTCACTCTTGCAAACGAGATGTCCTGGCCGCTTGTATGTATGTAGAACTTCTTTCGCACCGTACGTATCCGACGGTGCTAATCGGAGGTGCAGGGGAAGGACAACTAAGCCGAAGCCCAGGTATTTTGTTGTTGTCTGAAGTTTCAACGTGACGATCTCTAAATTGGGTTACACAAATCCCGCCTCAATAGAAAATGAAACACATGGGTAAGCAACAACAACAACAAAAGCCTTGCGCTGTCAATGTTTCACGCACGCACGCACCCGTGGGACAGAAACGACGCGCGTGGAAACTCTGGCGAGGAACGAACACGTTTATGACTTTTGCATAAAATAGTGGCGATTTCGGTTCAACTCGATACAGGTAAATACGTTCGGGTCCACCGCGTGAAATGAGTGCGGGCGGCAAGCGCAGTTAGTCGCGCAGTTAGGCGAGCAGGTAGGCGGGCAGGTAAGCGCGCGTGCAACGCGCTCGCCACGGGTACAGGGGGCTGGCGGGCGGCAGCGGAGCTGGGAACATCGGCAAGGAGCACCCATGGTGCGGCCGGGTATGGGCGAGTGGTTGAAAGGGTCCAGGTGGGTCCAGGTAAGTACAGGTGAGTACAGGTAGGTCCAGGAGGGTTTAGACAAATGCAAAATGCAGATGGGGCGGTGTACTGGCGGCGGCGTGGCCGAGCGGTCACGACGTTCGCGGTTCGGATCCAGCGGCTGCCCCGGTTCTCACCGCGGGCGTATTTAGCCACGCGCCGTCAGCTTCACAGTGACGTCATTCGCAAGAGGAGGCCATTGCGTGCCGGCCTCATGGTCCAGATTTGTCAAATTACCCACAAATTACTCGCGTGAGAGCAACCATCGCACCCCTACTGACAAAAGACTTGACAGGACCCTCATGATAAGGATTCACGAAACTCAGCGAGGCTTCCCTGGGTAAACAAGCGCAGAAATAACAACGGCTCCAACGGCGAGTTCGGGGTGCAGGTTCACGTGCGCACAGACGGGTCCATGGCTACGTGGGTACGCCGGAGTGCAGGATGCTGGCAGGCAACGTGTGAGGGGAGGCAGGCGCTCGCGCGCGGCGTGGGAGTTGCGCGTGCGCCTTCAACGAATGGAACATCAAAGTCCAAACCAATGAACGGCATCGCCGACGACGCCATCCACAGGGCGCCAGCTGCTGCTTGCTGCTGATGATGATGCTGATGATGTTGCTGATGATGTTGCTGCTGCTGCCCCCTCGGATCGGTGGAAGAAAAAAAAGTTCAAACGCGATTCAACGCCGGTGCGTTTCCACGCTGCCCTACGGAAGTAGAAGTGCAAGCGAGCGGGAGGGTGGAGGCGTGCGGGAAGGCGACACCACCCTCGTAGGTGCCGCCACGCACGTCGTGTGCTCCACGATTATTTTAAATCGACAGCAGGTGTGGTTTGTCTCGCCGCCAGGTAAGGCACATGAAGCAGGGACGGGAACACGACGAGGGGGATCCCAACTCGGACAGCCCGACAGGGGCAGCCGCGGTAACGGCCGCGGCTACAGCGGCGTGCGTACACGGGTTGAGCGAGCGGGTTGGAGCCGCGTTGTGCAAAGCGAGGTGGCCGTTATAGCTACATGCAGTGGTGGGACCGAACGAGCAATTGACCGGACCGACCGAGCAATTGACGGACGGACCGACCGACCGCCGGTTGTGAGCGACAGCGACATTCATTGGTCCAAAACGAACCGCGGGCAAAAAAAAACCTAAAAGTAGACGGACAGCCAAAAAGTTTCGCGAAAAAGTCACAGCGATCCGACGGTAGCGTTTACGGTTCAAGCCAAAGTGTACACATATATATATTTTTTCCTCAATGCAATCGTAACCATAGTGACGCCATCATAGAAAAACAAGTGCAATCAAAAGCGCGACTGTAAAAATTGTAAAAAAATATATATACACACACACCGTTCTCAAAACTTTTTGACCGTTCCTCGTCTCACGTGTTATGTACACGGGCACCTACGCACACGTACGGACGCGCGCAAAGCGTGGCCGCGAGCGAAACTGCCACGCCCCGTGGGAGAGACGCGGTTTCTGTACAAAGGCACTTGCTTCACCCGTACGGTGAGCGGAACTCCGCCAAACTCCATCGGTCGCCCCCCACCAAGCCACCCTCGTCGTTATCAGCGCCGGAGGGGAGGGGGGGGGGAGGCCCGTTCACGATGCGGCGACGGTGAAGTGTCTACGGGAACTTTGCAGGCCGCAGGGAGAGAGAGAGAGAGGAGAGAGGGGAGAGGGAGCGTTGAGACGATGTTACGGTTGAAGTGTGAACGAGCAGACGTCACACAGAGGGAGGGAGAGAGACGGTCAGGGCTTGATTATTCAGTGAATATTTCGTGGGTCGCCGGTAGACCGGTGAGTGGCACGCGACTAAGTAGTCGCCACAGCCGTAGCGAGATGGACACTGGGCGTGCCGAGTTAAGTCGTCGGCAAAAGAGACGAGTCTTGAGCCGTGGTCTCGTGAGCTCTGCCGCGTGAACGGCCGGAGGAAGGGGACTCCGGACAGCAGGGGGCATCAGACGCGGCAGTGGTCTCGTCATCATCGCCAAGACACCAAATTGGCCGTTTACGAATGACCCTCTCAGGCCCCTTGCCAGGTCTCTTCGGCAGGCTTGAGCAAGGTGACGGAGCGTCTACAGTCATGGAACCACTCGGGTAGCAGAGGGGCCGGCGGCTATAAGCCGCTCTGCCCTCTACGCCAAGCTTTCACCCCCCCCCTCTCGGCCCCCCCACCCCCGCCCCCTAGGCTATTTACTTCACCAACTTCGACATCGTCCGCGCGTATCCGTTTAAAAAAAAACAATAAAATGAGCGCAACAGCAGCGGCAAAAACAACAAGAATTAAAAATGCAAAAGCATTCGTGCGGAGGGATGCGGGCGACTGTGTAGCCCCGGGGGTCATTCAAAAACGCGGTGGGGTGCGGGGGGGGGGTGGCGTGCGGGGGGGGGCTCGATAAATTTTTAAGCAGTCGAGCGACGGACTCGAGCAAAGGAAACCGCCCGCGACGTCTTAAAATAGCGCACGAGGGCCGCATGCATGCGGCCCACCTGCATGCCGAGCAAACACCCGTCGCTGTTTGCCTTTCCTGCTGTTGACTTTTCTTATTTCCCAGTTTAACAAGGCGGGTAATTGCTCCGGCCAGTGAAAAATAAAATGAAACTGAGAGCGTAAACGACTCGGGTCGGGGGAGGGGGGCAGAGACCTTTGGGGCCGACGGGCCTCAAGTTGCCGGGCATCCCCGGCTCGGCGGCCGGAGCGGGGAAACTCCGGTGGTGCCAGGAGATTCCCGCGACGCCGGATACGGCGATCCATTCCGACCGAAGATTCGCGACGGGAATCTGCGGTGCGGACAGATGCGCGGCATCGCCGTAGGGGCCTAAAAAGCTCACGGACGTTCAATGTGACTCCGGCGCGGGGCTGGCGCTGGCTACGTGGGTGCCACATCGAGCACCGTCCGTCCGTCGGTCCGTCGGTCGCAAGCAGAGCGACTGTCGGGGGGAGGGGGGGGGCAACAACAACAAAAAGCTGGCCGAGTCCCATGAGCCTCGTTCCGCCGCACCGCCGCCGCCACCCTCGCCGCTTCTTCTCCACGTCGTCACAGGATGGCGATCGTCTCCTGCTGCTCCAGGTCGGACCACGTGCGGGCCTTGCTCTCGGCCAGCGAGCGCCACGGCGGGGAGCCGTCCGTGGGGCTGTGGTCGTCCGAGCCGGATGGGTCGCTGCTCCCGTCTTCCGGTGGTTTGCGCGGACACACAGAAAACACGAGAGAGGCCACGGTCAGCGAGCGTACATGGAGCGCGCGGCGCACAACGGCGAATGAGTGTGGACGCAGTGGCGGCACGGCCCCTGGTGCAAGGAATGAAGTGGGGTGGGGGGGGCCCTCTGACACGTAGGCCATCGATCAGTTGCACCGCCTGCACACTCGACAGCTACGCTGCTGCGTGGCCAAAACCGCGTCTAGATACCTTCATGTCTAGGCCAGGCACTCGTTTAAGGCGGAGCTGACCTCGGGAAGGACCAGGAGAGTTTGAAATACCACACCATTACTGCTATACGTGAACTGGAATCGAACCTAGGCGCTGGGTTTGGGTTCGTAGCACGTTGCGCGGAACGCTGTGATGCCACGGTCAGGATTAGGCACGCACAGACACTCACATACACGCGCGCGTGCGTCAGGCCCAGGTGAGGCTGAATTTCCCACTTGCAGCTCCGAGGCTGTAGATTCTAACAATAATCGTAAAAATAACTCAGCTTGTACCTCATCACACGGGCCCACGCACACAGCCGAAATTCACGGCGACCCTAAAGACAGCGCTGACAGTGCACGAGCGGCGTGCCTGTCGCCATCGAACTGTCCCACGCTGCCTGCGCCGGGGGCAGCTGGTGCTTCCATCATCGATCCCAGTGGACGAAGCGGGGCACGGCGTAACGCGAGCGCTCAGTCGCGGAACCAGTGGAGGTGCCCCCCCCCCCCGCCCCCCCCGCCCCCCCCGCCCCCCGCGTGGTGATCGCGGTGCGTCTGCGGCTACCGCGTGGCAGGGCCCGTGCAGATTTCGTTTCAGCGCCGTGTCGACTGGCACCCTTGAAAGTTTAATGGCTTCGGAGTGGCTCAGCGGCTCGTCGACGGAGAGTCGCCGCCGACCTCCTTGTATCCCATTCGTTCCCCCGGTTGCCTGTTTTCCGATTCGCCGATATTCGATTTGCATCGACGGCCATGCTCGCGGCACACGCGTCAAGTCGTTGTTATAGCGTGCAAATTAGCAGCGCGTGATCTGCTGACGGTACATTTAAGCCAATGGAGTCAAACAAAACAATACAAACGAGAGGGTAAAATCGAGACAAAAAAGGAATCGATTCTTGAATGGCAACGTGAAAATCACGTGGAACCGCTGGGAGAATCGTTGCCAGCCGACTCACGATGCCTCCCACTGACAAGCAATTCAACGGGCCGGCCAACCACTGGCGATCAGCCACTGCTGGTCGAAGCCATCTGGAAAACAGTCGGCAAAGCCTATGTTCGGGTCATTTCAGTCCCGTGAATTTCATGTGGAGCAATCCCGTCTGGTGAGAGCGGGCGGGCGAGCGAGCGAGTGAGCGAGTGAGGTGGGTGACTTTGTCCGATGTGGCAGGAGCGAGATCACGGTCGGCATCGCGTCCCCTCCAGCAGGACGCGGCGACCTCCAGCCGTGACCTTTTATTCCGTGCCATCTTCGCCTCGTTGGCGACAACAACCTGCTGCTTCAATGAACCCTGGACACGGCGGCAACTTACACTTGACTCAAATTCCACAGCTTGTCGTCGACTCGGACTACTCAAACCAAAACACGCGGATGGAATTACCACGGCGCCCAGGGGTCAGAGGGCAGCCTGGAGAGGACCTTTCCCATATTGTAGCTTCTCACCCTGAGCTAGAAATGCCCTGATAGTGTGCTGTTCGGCGTCCTCTGGTCTAACACCGATTGCGACGATCCTCTCAAGAAAGCTGTCTCTGGTGTTGTCCAATCAGTTTCAAAGACAACGCATATATTAGAGCGTGTTTTTTGTTTGCATGTTCACCACAAGCACGTGTGGTTAATGCGGACAGGATGATTGCCAAAATGGGTAGACCCTATTGTTATAGTACCATCACATTATCACGTGATTAAGAGTGGCCCTGCTCCCCCGGGGGGATTATTTTTCGTTTCGATTGGACGGTGGAGGGGAGCGACGGAGCCAAGTTCCGCCGAGCCGGACGGCATCGCCGCAGGGGAAGCTTCGCCAGGCACGGGCGTCGCTATTGTTGCGCCGCGCGCGTGAACAAAGCTCTCCGGTAACGATCGAGGGGATTAGGCCGTCGACGTTTTCCGTAAACAATTGCGGGGCCGGAGCAAGCGAGAGGCCGCTCACGAGGAAAGGCGGCCGCTTCGTACAGAGCGCAGAGGACGCGCCTCTGATTGGCGCGTTTGGCTACGTACGGTGCGAAAGAAGTTCGACATACATACATACGCCCACGTAGAGCGGCAGTTTTAAGTCAACTGAGGTTGAGGATTTACAATCTTCACCCCAAACCCCCTCTCAATGACAAACATCCCCACTGTTAGCGAGCACCTATGAAGGCCGGTACGGCAAGGTTGGGTGGCCAGCACCACGGCCGGCTGCCTTTGTCTCCCGAGTGGCGATGATTAGACACCGTACCAGGTACTCATTTTGGGCTGAGTCGACCTAGGGGAGGTCCAAGACCGGTTCAGATAATCGTCGCCGGTGTTGGTGGCCGCGAGCGGGAATCGTAGCGCAGCGCGCTAACCGCTACACGACGGCGCACGCACACGGATACTGCTCACCGGGATTGGACCTGACATCGGCGGCGCCCGGAGTCCTGCTCCCTCCAGCGCACCGCGCCGAGTCGCCGGCCGCCTCCTCAGCCTCGCTGCCCTCCCTCACGGCGGACACCGTGCCGAGGCTCTTGATGCCATCGCTGCTCACGCGGAGCCGGCCACCGTCCTGCAGCTGCTGCTGCTGCTGCTGCTGGTGCTGTTGCTGCTGCCGGCAGAAGGACTGCGACTGCGGCGTGCGGCGCAACTTGACCCCGAACGGGCGCGTGCCGTCCCTGCCATCCGCGGCGAGGTCCGGCCAGCCTGACGCCGCCTCTGAGAGCATGGAGGCGGCGCGGATCATCGGCTCCACGGCCGAGACGGGGCGCTGAGTCCTCGCGCGTCCGCGCTTCGCCACTTTCTGGGAAACGCCGCCGCCGCCCCCCTGCCGCGTACCGCCCCGCCCCTCGACCTCGCCGGCGTCCACGGCGTCGCAAGCGACGGCACGCGCCGCCTGCGCGACAAGGTGGTCCGATCCCCGAGGCAGCGACTTGCTGCGCGCCGTCGCGAAGGGCAAGCGGCCGCCGATCTCCGACGAGCTCCTGTGAGGAAGCTTCCCGCGGCAGTCCGCCGCCGCGGCGCCGTCGTCGGCGCCCACCGGCGCCGCGTCGCTGGGGCTCCGCAGCGTGGGGCGCGGCAGCCGTATGGGGTCGAAGGTCGCCGGCTCGTCGGTCGCCCCCTCCGCTTCGGAGTCGTCGGACGAGGAGGCGGCGGCGGCAGCGGCGGCGGAGGAGGACGAGGAAGCGCCCGGCGCCGGCTTCACCTGCACGCGCGGGAGGCGGAAGCTCTGCCCGGACTCCAGGGCCGCGACGGCGGCGTTGCCGCCGTCGTTCGCCGGAGACTCGGGGGGCTCCGGGGATCGAGCCGCGCTCGCCGTCTCGTCGGGTTCTTCCCGCAGTGCCGGCTCGCGCTGCGGGCGCGGTGCTCGCTTGGCGCCGGGAGGGACCAGCGCCGGCCGCTTGGGTTGCTGCTTCTCGCTCGGCGATTGGCCCGAGCCTCCTGGTTCACACGCGCACCACGGTGCGATTAGCCCGCGACACCGCCGCCCGCTCCCCTCTCATCCCCCGCGACCGCGCGCTCCACAGCGAGGGGAAGACTGGATTTGGCGAAGGCCGAGTTTTACCCTGCGTCGGTCCGAGTCGGCGAGATGGAAAATACAACCCGCACACCACATCCAGTATCCCTCTTACTCGGGCTATGACTCGGAGTCGTATTCCTACGTAAATTCCTGCTCAAATGAGCATCGAGGTGGTGTTCATCCTCCGTTTACAGGCCTGAGCCAGTGTTGGAAATTCCACATTCCTATGGCAGGGGTAAGTATGTCCACAGGACAACCGCTTTTCATAGGGTGGTACCAATTTTAATCACCTCAGCGGGATGATGGGCTAAATCAACCACCGACCAGGATGTGAACTTCCTGACCGCGAGCGGGGGCGAGGGTCCGGCGGAGACTCACCGGGGCCGGCGAGGGAGGGGCTCTCTCCGAAGGAGGACGCTGGAGACAGAGCGCCGTCGCCGTCACTCGCGTCCTGCACGTGGCGGCACGGAGAGAGGAGGAGAGGCTGTGACGGGAGGCAAGAGCTGGGGCTGGTGGGGGGGGTGTGGGTGGTGGGGGGGTGTGGGGGGGGTGTGGGTGGTGGGGGTTGTGGGTGGGGGTGTGGGTGGGTGGGGGGGTGAGGGCGGTGTCGTGGCGCTGCTCACGGCTGTGCGCCGTGGCCTTGCGCCCGTGCGCTGGTTGCGGGGCCGCACGGCCATGCGGTGCTTGGCGGCCGTGTTGTCGAGCGTCGCCGTGAACGTGGGCCGCTCGTCCAGGCTGAGCGGCGCGCACCAGCTGCTGCCTCCCTGCACCGCCCGCAACACCACAACCGCGATCAAAACAACCGGGATGGGCGCAACCGGATTCGCGATCGCAACTCGATCGCGACCAATAACGCAACCGCAACCACTCCCACAATCACGACCGCGATGCAAATCACAACCACGACCACCGCCACAAACACGATCGCAACCGCAGCATCAACATGCACAAAGCGCAACCCACAGGCAGCACACAACCTGGCCTGCTCCGTTACAATCATCCCTTGGCTGGTTTGTGATTAAACAAAACAGAAATGTAGGAGCCACACGAATTAAAATAGCTGTTATGTTTTGTTATCCTTGCCGCTCATTTTGTCAACAAACCAAACTGCGACACCCCGCGGGACAGGAGAGACGACGGGAGGCAGCTGTCACGGCAACTCGCGTTTTGCAAGTTGCCCAAAGGTCGTCCTTTGAGCTCCGGAAGATTCCATCAAAATGGCCAACGTCTCACTCGGGGTGAGCACCGACTCGTGGTGCAACCTTGACACTGAAGTGTCGTTCGTGTCGGATCGTGCGGATCGGAGAATCTCAGTGGCACCGGTCTCGGCGTTGCTGACCTTTGACCCACCCAACTGCCCCCCTCTCCGCCCAGCTCCCCCTCCACACCCACGTAGAAATTATTTTACTCAACTAAACCATTTTCATTTGACCAGTTAAGGCCCTCTGAGCTATATAGGTCTTTACATGAACGCTTGACTTGCCGCTCGCTGCTTCCAGCACCGAGGGGGAGGCGCTTCTGGTGGCGATCGCGGTTGTGATCGTGGCAGTGGTTGTGGGAGTCGAACCCTCTGTCAATGCGTTGGGTTTTTTGTCGATGACGTGCAAAAAAAAAAACAGTGGCAAAGCAACACCACGTAAGCCAGCAGCAGCAACAGCAGCAGCAGCAGCAGCAGGAGCAGCAGCAGCAGCAGCAGGGATGGGCACCTGTTCAGGAGTCAGGGGCCGGTCAGGCGCCAGCACCAGTTCAGGTACCAGCGCCTGCTCCCTCGGCAAGGACTGCGTCCCATTTGTTCTCAAGGAGCCCTGCGACCACCGCTACGGACGGACACGGAACAACACAAAGCAAGGCACGAGCGGACACGGACGTAAGGCATGGTGCGACCAGCGCAAGCGAATTAATAAGCCAAGCGAGACGGACGCCGCAGCTCTTTGCCGCGGCCGTGCCATAGCACGGCCCTCGACGCGGTTCTAGGCGAGCGTCAAGAGGGAAAACATCGGACATCGGTACGGCGTGGGCAACGGAGGCCGGAAACTCTTCGGAAGAGGGCTGCACGGCAGAGCCGGGTGAAACCATGGGTGCGCCCTGAAGCACAGCGAGGCGCACGCTCACAACGCAACGGCGCTAATGCGAGGACGCCGCACAGTGGCGAGGATTTGTTTACAGCGTTACAGCCAATAAATAATGGAGTTTGTTGAGGGACGCGATTACCGCGCGTGTAAATAACTCGCGTGGGGCCATCAGTCAGGGCGCGGTAACGAATCCACCCGGTGTTCGTTACCCCCCCCGGGGCGAGCTCCGCGTTATCCGGAGTTGGTCTCGGGGAGAGGACGGCCTCCTCTCGGTGCCAAAGGTGTCGAGCGGCAAGTCGGGAGGGGGGGGGGGGCACTGTGCGAACCGCGGGGGATGCCGACGCCGCCGCCGTTCCCTCTGGTGTCGCTCGCCGCTTGGGGATGAGTCGCGACGGGGAGGCGATGCGCAGCGTCCGCAGCAGCTGATTCTGCACGAGAGGAAGGGGGGCGGAGACGCGGGAGTGTCGGGCGATCCCCACTGCGACGGAGTTGCTCACGGTCGTGACAACAGTGACGTCACACGTGTGTCATCTCTAGGGGAAAGCCTCGCTGAATCCTGAGACCTTTTTCTCGGGACGAGAGAGAGAGCAGGGCTGCGGCACAGCCCGTGAAGAAGCAACAGGGGCCTAGCGCCAACGACAACAAGGACAACGACAACAACAATGATGACGACAACAACAATGATGACAACGATAATGACTACAACGATGACAACCACAACAACAAGAACAATAACAACGACAACAACAACGACTACAACAACGATGACGACAACAACAACGACGACGACAATGACTACAACGATGACAACCACAACAACAATAACAACAACGACAACAACGACAACAACGACGACAACAACGACGACAACAACGACGGCAACAACGAGGAGCTCCATGAGCAGGAGATGGAGCGATGAAGTCACTTTCGTGCGGCATTTGCTCAGTTTATAAGCGGCAGTCGCGGCTCAGGGAAACCTTCACCTAGCAGTGGATTGACCATGGCTGACGACGGTGATAACGACGACGACGATGAATGAGTCCAAATTTGGGCGTCATCTTTGGACGCCGCGCACGGTTTGGGAGTCTCGCACCATAACACGCGATAATCTCTGCATGATCCACCAACCCTGCCAACAGAGCTGCGGCTCGTGGAGGGGGAGGCCTGTGGGGGGGGGGGGGGTGGCGCCGCCGGAGTCACCTTGAAGGCGCTGACGCGGCCGGCGAGGTTGTCCTGGGACAGCACGCGGGACGGCCGCTCGGGATCGGCGGACGCCGCGTCCGGCTGGAAGACGCTGTCCAGGGACATGGCGCGTGCACCCAGCCTGCCCACAGCGGGGAGATGAGAGACATCACACAGAGACGTCACACAGAGACCAGCGACGTCACCCAGAGACCAGAGACGTCGCACAGAGATGACAGACGTCGCACAGAGACGAGAGACGTCACACAGAGACGTCACACACAGACCAGAGACGTCACACAGAGACGTCACACAGAGACCAGAGACGTCACACAGAGACGTCACACACAGACCAGAGACGTCACACAGAGACGTCACACAGAGACCAGAGACGTCGCACAGAGACCAGAGACGTCGCACAGAGACCAGAGACGTCACACAGAGACATCGCACAGAGATGTCACAGAGACCAGAGACGTCGCCCAGAGACCAGAGACGTCACACAGAGATGAGAGACGTCGCACAGAGACCAGAGACGTCACACAGAGACGTCGCACAGAGATGTCACAGAGACCAGAGACGTCGCACAGAGATGAGAGACGTCGCACAGAGACCAGAGACGTCACACAGAGACGTCGCACAGAGACCAGAGACGTCGCACAGAGATGAGAGACGTCGCACAGAGACCAGAGACGTCACACAGAGACATCGCACAGAGATGTCACAGAGACCAGAGACGTCGCACAGATACCAGAGACGTCACACAGAGATGAGAGACGTCGCACAGAGACCAGAGGCGTCACACAGAGACATCGCATAGAGATGAGAGACGTCGCACAGAGACCAGAGACGTCACACAGAGACATCGCACAGAGATGTCACAGAGACCAGAGACGTCGCACAGAGACCAGAGACGTCACACAGAGACATCGCACAGAGATGAGAGACGTTGCACAGAGACCAGAGACGTCACACAGAGACGTCGCACAGAGACCAGAGACGTCGCACAGAGACGTCACACACAGACCAGAGACGTCACACAGAGACCAGAGACGTCACACAGAGATGTCGCACAGAGACGTCACACACAGACCAGAGACGTCACACAGAGACGTCGCACAGAGACGTCACACAGAGACGTCGCACAGAGACGTCACACACAGACCACAGACGTCACACAGAGACGTCACACAGAGACGTCACACAGAGACGTCGCACAGAGACGTCACACACAGACCACAGACGTCACACAGAGATGTCACACAGAGACGTCACACAGAGACGTCACACAGAGACGTCGCACAGAGACGTCACACACAGACCAGAGACGTCACACAGAGACGTCGCACAGAGACGTCACAGAGACGAGAGACGTCACACAGAGACGTCACACAGAGACCAGAGACGTCGCACAGAGACCAGAGACGTCACACAGAGACATCACACCGAGACGTCACAGAGACCAGAGACATCGCACAGAGACGTCACACAGAGATGAGAGACGTCATACAGAGACGTCGCACAGAGATGTCACACAGAGACGTCACACAGAGACCAGAGACGTCGCACAGAGACCAGAGACGTCACACAGAGACGTCACACACAGACCAGAGACGTCACACAGAGACGTCGCACAAAGACGTCACACAGAGACGTCACACAGAGACGTCACACCGAGACGTCACAGAGACCAGAGACGTCGCACAGAGACGTCACACAGAGATGAGAGACGTTACACAGAGACGTCGCACAGAGACGTCGCACAGAGCCGTCGCACAGAGACGTCACACAGAGACGTCGCACAGAGACGTCGCACAGAGAAGTCGCACAGAGACGTCGCACAGAGACGTCGCACAGAGACGTCGCACAGAGACGTCACACAGAGACGTCACACAGAGACCAGAGACGTCACACGGAGACGTCACACAGAGACGAGAGACGTCACACAGAGATGAGAGACATCACAGAAAGACGTCACACAGAGATGAGAGACGTCGCACAGAGACATCACACAGAGACCAGAGACGTCACACGGAGACGTCACACAGAGACCAGAGACGTCGCACAGAGACCAGAGACGTCGCACAGAGACCAGAGACGTCACACAGAGACATCGCACAGAGATGTCACAGAGACCAGAGACGTCGCCCAGAGACCAGAGACGTCACACAGAGATGAGAGACGTCGCACAGAGACCAGAGACGTCACACAGAGACGTCGCACAGAGATGTCACAGAGACCAGAGACGTCGCACAGAGATGAGAGACGTCGCACAGAGACCAGAGACGTCACACAGAGACGTCGCACAGAGACCAGAGACGTCGCACAGAGATGAGAGACGTCGCACAGAGACCAGAGACGTCACACAGAGACATCGCACAGAGATGTCACAGAGACCAGAGACGTCGCACAGATACCAGAGACGTCACACAGAGATGAGAGACGTCGCACAGAGACCAGAGACGTCACACAGAGACATCGCACAGAGATGAGAGACGTCGCACAGAGACCAGAGACGTCACACAGAGACATCGCACAGAGATGTCACAGAGACCAGAGACGTCGCACAGAGACCAGAGACGTCACACAGAGACATCGCACAGAGATGAGAGACGTTGCACAGAGACCAGAGACGTCACACAGAGACGTCGCACAGAGACCAGAGACGTCGCACAGAGACGTCACACACAGACCAGAGACGTCACACAGAGACCAGAGACGTCACACAGAGATGTCGCACAGAGACGTCACACACAGACCAGAGACGTCACACAGAGACGTCGCACAGAGACGTCACACAGAGACGTCGCACAGAGACGTCACACACAGACCACAGACGTCACACAGAGACGTCACACAGAGACGTCACACAGAGACGTCGCACAGAGACGTCACACACAGACCACAGACGTCACACAGAGACGTCACACAGAGACGTCACACAGAGACGTCACACAGAGACGTCGCACAGAGACGTCACACACAGACCAGAGACGTCACACAGAGACGTCGCACAGAGACGTCACAGAGACGAGAGACGTCACACAGAGACGTCACACAGAGACCAGAGACGTCGCACAGAGACCAGAGACGTCACACAGAGACATCACACCGAGACGTCACAGAGACCAGAGACATCGCACAGAGACGTCACACAGAGATGAGAGACGTCATACAGAGACGTCGCACAGAGATGTCACACAGAGACGTCACACAGAGACCAGAGACGTCGCACAGAGACCAGAGACGTCACACAGAGACGTCACACACAGACCAGAGACGTCACACAGAGACGTCGCACAAAGACGTCACACAGAGACGTCACACAGAGACGTCACACCGAGACGTCACAGAGACCAGAGACGTCGCACAGAGACGTCACACAGAGATGAGAGACGTTACACAGAGACGTCGCACAGAGACGTCGCACAGAGACGTCGCACAGAGACGTCACACAGAGACGTCGCACAGAGACGTCGCACAGAGAAGTCGCACAGAGACGTCGCACAGAGACGTCGCACAGAGACGTCGCACAGAGACGTCACACAGAGACGTCACACAGAGACCAGAGACGTCACACGGAGACGTCACACAGAGACGAGAGACGTCACACAGAGATGAGAGACATCACAGAAAGACGTCACACAGAGATGAGAGACGTCGCACAGAGACATCACACAGAGACCAGAGACGTCACACGGAGACGTCACACAGAGACGAGAGACATCACAGAAAGACGTCACACAGAGATGAGAGACGTCACAGAGAGACGTCACACAGAGACCAGAGACGTCACACGGAGACATCGCACAGAGATGAGAGACGTTGCACAGAGACCAGAGACGTCACACAGAGACGTCGCACAGAGACCAGAGACGTCGCACAGAGACGTCACACACAGACCAGAGACGTCACACAGAGACCAGAGACGTCACACAGAGATGTCGCACAGAGACGTCACACACAGACCAGAGACGTCACACAGAGACGTCGCACAGAGACGTCACACAGAGACGTCGCACAGAGACGTCACACACAGACCACAGACGTCACACAGAGACGTCACACAGAGACGTTACACAGAGACGTCGCACAGAGACGTCACACACAGACCACAGACGTCACACAGAGATGTCACACAGAGACGTCACACAGAGACGTCGCACAGAGACGTCACACACAGACCAGAGACGTCACACAGAGACGTCGCACAGAGACGTCACAGAGACGAGAGACGTCACACAGAGACGTCACACCGAGACGTCACAGAGACCAGAGACATCGCACAGAGACGTCACACAGAGATGAGAGACGTCATACAGAGACGTCGCACAGAGACGTCACACAGAGACGTCACACAGAGACCAGAGACGTCGCACAGAGACCAGAGACGTCACACAGAGACGTCACACACAGACCAGAGACGTCACACAGAGACGTCGCACAAAGACGTCACACAGAGACGTCACACAGAGACGTCACACCGAGACGTCACAGAGACCAGAGACGTCACACAGAGACCAGAGACGTCACACAGAGATGTCGCACAGAGACGTCACACACAGACCAGAGACGTCACACAGAGATGTCACACAGAGACGTCACACAGAGACATCGCACAGAGACGTCACACACAGACCAGAGACGTCACACAGAGACGTCGCACAGAGACGTCACAGAGACGAGAGACGTCACACAGAGACGTCACACCGAGACGTCACAGAGACCAGAGACATCACACAGAGACGTCACACAGAGATGAGAGACGTCATACAGAGACGTCGCACAGAGACGTCACACAGAGACGTCACACAGAGACCAGAGACGTCGCACAGAGACCAGAGACGTCACACAGAGACGTCACACACAGACCAGAGACGTCACACAGAGACGTCGCACAAAGACGTCACACAGAGACGTCACACAGAGACGTCACACCGAGACGTCACAGAGACCAGAGACGTCGCACAGAGACGTCACACACAGACCAGAGACGTCACACAGAGACGTCGCACAGAGACGTCACACAGAGACGTCGCACAGAGACGTCACACACAGACCACAGACGTCACACAGAGACATCACACAGAGACGTCACACAGAGACGTCGCACAGAGACGTCACACACAGACCACAGACGTCACACAGAGACGTCACACAGAGACGTCACACAGAGACGTCACACAGAGACGTCGCACAGAGACGTCACACACAGACCAGAGACGTCACACAGAGACGTCGCACAGAGACGTCACAGAGACGAGAGACGTCACACAGAGACGTCACACAGAGACCAGAGACGTCGCACAGAGACCAGAGACGTCACACAGAGACATCACACCGAGACGTCACAGAGACCAGAGACATCGCACAGAGACGTCACACAGAGATGAGAGACGTCATACAGAGACGTCGCACAGAGATGTCACACAGAGACGTCACACAGAGACCAGAGACGTCGCACAGAGACGTCACACACAGACCAGAGACGTCACACAGAGACGTCGCACAAAGACGTCACACAGAGACGTCACACAGAGACGTCACACCGAGACGTCACAGAGACCAGAGACGTCGCACAGAGACGTCACACAGAGATGAGAGACGTTACACAGAGACGTCGCACAGAGACGTCGCACAGAGACGTCGCACAGAGACGTCACACAGAGACGTCGCACAGAGACGTCGCACAGAGAAGTCGCACAGAGACGTCGCACAGAGACGTCGCACAGAGACGTCGCACAGAGACGTCACACAGAGACGTCACACAGAGACCAGAGACGTCACACGGAGACGTCACACAGAGACGAGAGACGTCACACAGAGATGAGAGACATCACAGAAAGACGTCACACAGAGATGAGAGACGTCGCACAGAGACATCACACAGAGACCAGAGACGTCACACGGAGACGTCACACAGAGACGAGAGACATCACAGAAAGACGTCACACAGAGATGAGAGACGTCACAGAGAGACGTCACACAGAGACCAGAGACGTCACACGGAGACATCGCACAGAGATGAGAGACGTTGCACAGAGACCAGAGACGTCACACAGAGACGTCGCACAGAGACCAGAGACGTCGCACAGAGACGTCACACACAGACCAGAGACGTCACACAGAGACCAGAGACGTCACACAGAGATGTCGCACAGAGACGTCACACACAGACCAGAGACGTCACACAGAGACGTCGCACAGAGACGTCACACAGAGACGTCGCACAGAGACGTCACACACAGACCACAGACGTCACACAGAGACGTCACACAGAGACGTTACACAGAGACGTCGCACAGAGACGTCACACACAGACCACAGACGTCACACAGAGATGTCACACAGAGACGTCACACAGAGACGTCGCACAGAGACGTCACACACAGACCAGAGACGTCACACAGAGACGTCGCACAGAGACGTCACAGAGACGAGAGACGTCACACAGAGACGTCACACCGAGACGTCACAGAGACCAGAGACATCGCACAGAGACGTCACACAGAGATGAGAGACGTCATACAGAGACGTCGCACAGAGACGTCACACAGAGACGTCACACAGAGACCAGAGACGTCGCACAGAGACCAGAGACGTCACACAGAGACGTCACACACAGACCAGAGACGTCACACAGAGACGTCGCACAAAGACGTCACACAGAGACGTCACACAGAGACGTCACACCGAGACGTCACAGAGACCAGAGACGTCACACAGAGACCAGAGACGTCACACAGAGATGTCGCACAGAGACGTCACACACAGACCAGAGACGTCACACAGAGATGTCACACAGAGACGTCACACAGAGACATCGCACAGAGACGTCACACACAGACCAGAGACGTCACACAGAGACGTCGCACAGAGACGTCACAGAGACGAGAGACGTCACACAGAGACGTCACACCGAGACGTCACAGAGACCAGAGACATCGCACAGAGACGTCACACAGAGATGAGAGACGTCATACAGAGACGTCGCACAGAGACGTCACACAGAGACGTCACACAGAGACCAGAGACGTCGCACAGAGACCAGAGACGTCACACAGAGACGTCACACACAGACCAGAGACGTCACACAGAGACGTCGCACAAAGACGTCACACAGAGACGTCACACAGAGACGTCACACCGAGACGTCACAGAGACCAGAAACGTCGCACAGAGACGTCACACAGAGATGAGAGACGTTACACAGAGACGTCGCACAGAGACGTCGCACAGAGACGTCGCACAGAGACGTCACACAGAGACGTCGCACAGAGACGTCGCACAGAGACGTTGCACAGAGAAGTCGCACAGAGACGTCGCACAGAGACGTCGCACAGAGACGTCACACAGAGACGTCACACAGAGACGTCACACAGAGATGAGAGACATCACAGAAAGACGTCACACAGAGATGAGAGACGTCGCACAGAGACATCACACAGAGACCAGAGACGTCACACGGAGACGTCACACAGAGACGAGAGACATCACAGAAAGACGTCACACAGAGATGAGAGACGTCACAGAGAGACGTCACACAGAGACCAGAGACGTCACACGGAGACATCGCACAGAGATGAGAGACGTTGCACAGAGACCAGAGACGTCACACAGAGACGTCGCACAGAGACCAGAGACGTCGCACAGAGACGTCACACACAGACCAGAGACGTCACACAGAGACCAGAGACGTCACACAGAGATGTCGCACAGAGACGTCACACACAGACCAGAGACGTCACACAGAGACGTCGCACAGAGACGTCACACACAGACCACAGACGTCACACAGAGACGTCACACAGAGATGTCACACAGAGACGTCGCACAGAGACGTCACACACAGACCACAGACGTCACACAGAGACGTCACACAGAGACGTCACACAGAGACGTCACACAGAGACGTCGCACAGAGACGTCACACACAGACCAGAGACGTCACACAGAGACGTCGCACAGAGACGTCACAGAGACGAGAGACGTCACACAGAGACGTCACACAGAGACCAGAGACGTCGCACAGAGACCAGAGACGTCACACAGAGACATCACACCGAGACGTCACAGAGACCAGAGACATCGCACAGAGACGTCACACAGAGATGAGAGACGTCATACAGAGATGTCGCACAGAGACGTCACACAGAGACGTCACACAGAGACCAGAGACGTCGCACAGAGACCAGAGACGTCACACAGAGACGTCACACACAGACCAGAGACGTCACACAGAGACGTCGCACAAAGACGTCACACAGAGACGTCACACAGAGACGTCACACCGAAACGTCACAGAGACCAGAGACGTCGCACAGAGACGTCACACAGAGATGAGAGATGTTACACAGAGACGTCGCACAGAGACGTCGCACAGAGACGTCGCACAGAGACGTCACACAGAGACGTCGCACAGAGACGTCGCACAGAGAAGTCGCACAGAGACATCGCACAGAGACGTCGCACAGAGACGTCACACAGAGACGTCACACAGAGACGTCACACAGAGACCAGAGACGTCACACAGAGACGTCACACAGAGACGAGAGACGTCACACAGAGATGAGAGACATCACAGAAAGACGTCACACAGAGATGAGAGACGTCGCACAGAGACATCACACAGAGACCAGAGACGTCACACAGAGACGTCACACAGAGACGAGAGACATCACAGAAAGACGTCACACAGAGATGAGAGACGTCACAGAGAGGCGTCACACAGAGACCAGAGGCGTCACACGGAGACAAGAGACGTCACACAGAGACGTCACACAGAGACGTCACACAGAGACCAAAGACATCACACGGAGACGTCACACAGAGACGAGAGACGTCACAGAAAGACGTCACACAGAGATGAGAGACGTCGCACAGAGACGTCACACAGAGATGAGAAACGTCACAGAGAGACGTCACAAAGAAACCAGAGACGTCACACGGAGACAAGAGACGTCACACAGAGACCAGAGATGTCACACAGAGACGTCACACAGAGATGAGAGACGTCACACGGAGACGTCACACAGAGACAAGGAGGCGGTGGGAGAGACACGGCGCACACACGCTCACGGAGGACGGCAGCTGCTGCTGCTGAGAGACGTGTGACTGTAACCGTGTGTGTGTACCTGGCCTGGCACAGGCACCGTGGTGGCAGGTGTTGTTGTGTGTGCGCATGTATCTGCGTGTGAATGACTACGATGCGGTGGTTAGCACCGCGCTAAGAACCCGGCCACCCAAGTTCGATTCCCGTCCATGGCTAACATTTCAGACGTAACAACCAACACGAGGGTCAAGTGGTAACTGAACTTGCCCTGGGGGCCTTCCCTAGATTGGCCTAGGCTTTAATGCATACATCACGTGGGGTGTAACAATCAGCGCCACGCGTGTGTCCGTGCGTGCATGTGTGAGCGTGTGTCCGTCCACGTGCGTGTCCCCCCGCGCGTGTCTTGTCCGCGCTGTGGAGCTGCTGACCGGTCATCAGCGTTGTCATCAGCGCCAGGGACGTTGAGCAGCGTCACGGAGCCGCTGTGCGTGTTGGGTTTCTTCTTGGCCCTCATGAAGAGCCTCCTCAGCTGTTGGCGGAAGTGGAAGCGGCGCTTCCCACTCGAAGGGGCTTCTGGGAAAGCCGAGAAGGGGGCAGCACAGAAAGCGAGGTGGCAGCGTCAGCATTTGTAGCTGGGCTATCCGATTCTTTTAGAATAGGGCGCCATACAATCGAGTTGTAACACACGCGCAGCATTCGCTCGCCCTCGTAGAGGGAGAGAACGACTCGGGTGAGAGGAACCGCAGACCGGTGGGAAGACACGGTGGTCAGCTGGTGGGCCAGCTTCCAAAGCCCCCAATGAAATGGTAGGAACGCATCTCGTCGGTTTGTGCCGAAATTCGAATAACCTTAACATTTGGCACCAAATATCGCAACGCGCGTGGCGTCGTCGCGTCTCTCTCTCCGCGGCGGCAGGAACACGGGGCCAACAGAGAATGCACGGCGGATCGAGACGGTCGTGGCAGGACCCGGACGTCAATAACACGACAGCTCTTCCTCCGTTGCACGGCGGGGCCGTTCCATCCCGGGCGGTCCCACACGAGTTTGTAGCGGCCGGGATGGACGATCGCCTTCTCGCGCCGGCTCCGCTTGTTGTACGTCCTCGCGTCACCGTGAACACAATGACCGCCGCCATCGCGGCTAAGCGGGCGTCCCTTCATTTTAATCCAGATACGATCGCGAGAGCTAAATGCCGGGGGGGGGGGGGGGGGGGGGGGGGGGGGAGCCCCTTGTAAAGGACCAGAAACTGATCAGGCGAGACCAAGTGAACAATGAAGTTACTCTCAAGACATAAATCACGTGGCTTTCTGGCCAGAAACCTAAGCGTCATTAGAGAGAATTAAAGACTTCAAAGGGACACGGGCCCTCCAGCGATGTCCCTGCAGTGACCGTTATCTTCCAATAATGACCAAGTGACACCTTACGGGACATCACTGGAGCCATCCACCTAGGCTGTTGTTTACAAACAAAGGGTTAAATTCACGTCCAGCCCAGGAACACACGGCCGAGGTGGATATTTTCTACAAGAGCCGCTGTTTGCTTTATGAGTTGGTAGTTGGATTTGCCCAAACTCGAAGTGCTCATTAACGACTGCAGAACAACTCTCTTTGTTTGCCATTCTCCTCCGTTCAAATACAAATTAAGTTGCAATGAGGTGCCTCGCTGATTGACAAACACATTTCACATGTAATGAGAAGAGAGAGTGACGATTCAAATTAAGATAGCGGACCGGTGTGTGCGTCTGTTTGTTCACTTGCAGGGAGTGGTGGCGGTTACGTGATGTAGTTAGCCACTACATCACGTAACCGGCGAGCCGAGATTAAATCCTAATCGCGGCCAACAACGGTGACAAAATATGTAAGCCGATCCTGGGCCTCTCCAAGGTTGACTCAGCCTTAAATGAGTACCTGGTGAAGTGCGTAAACATGGATCGGCACTGGGGAGACAAAGGTGGCTGTGTGTGGTGCTAGACTCCCCGCCCGCTTGTGTTATGGCAGCCTCTCAAAGGTGCTTGCCAACAGCCCTTGGCCTTAACAGTCTGTGTGCCTTTATACAACAGTTTGTGTACATCTCACGTACTGTAGGGTGGTCCAATTCAAATTAACGTACAATTATTTTACATGAGCGATGTCTACATCACGTTGAACCAGTTTAGCAATCATCAGGTGTGTGCAGCACGCAGTAACCTGCATTCCAACGACGAAGATTGGTAAACATTGAACGCGGCCTGTGGAAGGTTTGGAGAACCCTGCTGAAAGGGACAGCTGATGCCATAGGGAAGATGGACGCTTGGGGAGGATTGAATCCAGCAGTGGATAGATCATGTCGCCCATTGGTAGCGCATACGACGCTTGTTGTAGAGGTTCGTGGTTCAAACTCAGCAGGCTGCCCTGGTTAACACTGCGGGTGTACCAACCGCACAATAATAAGCTCCGTCTGGACGTTAAAGATCCCGTGAGGTTTTTTGGAGAGAGAAAAATCGGCCTTTGTGTACAGGCTTCACAATCCGATTCGTGGCAAATATGAAAACTACACTGCAATTTAGTCAATTGGGATGTCACGGCTTAACATCGCCCCCTACCTTGAAACCACCACAGGCTGTGTCTGTGAAACACAGCAGTGCGCCTTCCTTCGTGACGATCGCCCTGCCCTCGAAGAACAATATCGCCAAGAGCAAACGTACTCAATTGTCGTGAATGACAGATAAATCCATACGGGTTTGTGAAAAAGATCTAGGCTCTTGACGATCAAACGTGGCGACAGCAAGGCCTTAGGCCTCAGCGCGCATACACTCAACCACCCTGGCCGCGATGTCAATTTTCATGGCACGATGATTATGTCAACATCAGTTGCCCATAACCTTGTAATTATATTTTGCATTTTTATTCATTTTTGCGCTTTCCCAGCAAACAAGCGATGTTGGACCAACGTCTTCGTGTTTACCGAGCTACTTGACTTTGAGTCCCAGTAAATGTTTACTTCAACGATCTTCAACTGAGGTTCACTCGACACGACCCCGCCGTGAGTCGAATCATTGAAAATCTACAACGCCTATAACACGCAGTAGCACAAGAACGAAATCGTTAAATGAACGCTTACAACGGTCTAGGCGGCTTATCTTAGGTTGCGATGCGGGAAAGCCATCGCGTTTACTGGATGATACACCTATTAATTTATAACTTAAAATGTATTTTGTTTGTTCAAAAACACATCTCAAGAAATGACTTTGGGACCTCCTTCCCATCGCCTCTCTTCCCAATCTCTTGCCACCATTCCTCAACTCGAAGAACGCTCTCACGGTCATCCATTACGACCGTGAGAGGACTGTTTGTTGCTGGCCCCTGGACGTTCAGGGCCAATTTGAGTCTGTGCTCAGCAACAGTGTAAAACAAAATTCTGTCTGGATACGAGGAGTTTAGAACAATAAATGTATTAATGATATGTTGCTGAACGGCCGCCGACACGAGACAGCTCTCCCGCTGTGTTTTCGGGTGGTGCGGTGACGCAACCCAACGGGGAGGGCCTACGCAGTGGGACGACGACGACGACCCCGCGAATGCCGTGGGCCTCGTGTCGTGTGCGACGCGCCGTGCCGTCGCGGACTGACGGCAACGCCACCGCTTGTCACCCTCTACCCAATGTGGCGATAAACCTCGGCGTGGAAACTCCACGAGCCGCGATCACGAAACCAAGAAGTTCAACAGCTTACGCGCGAACCACATTTCCACTTATGGGATTTTCGGCGACCGCTCTCTCGTCAGCGGCTTCAGCTCCACGGCCGATTGGCGCTAACGAGCTTGAGAAATTAAAGTGGCTACCTTGAGTCACGTGTGGGGGGGGGGGGGGGCATGGGGGTGGCTGCACCCATCACAAACAAGCGTGCGGTTCCCAGAAACATTCCGTCCCCGTGACACGAGCCTCAAAGGCTCCGGCTACCGCCCATTTCCCCCATTCTGAATAATAATAAAAAATCTAAACGTTTCCCCCGGCAACGCGAGCCACCGAGTGGCAACGGCAAACAAACAACGGCGGCGGCCGTCACAGAGAGGCGTGGAGCTCGCGTGCAGCCCACCACGATGTTCGTCGGCGTGTCGGTAACCGCCAAACCGCCGTCCCGTTCGGGAGGTGGCGTCGCCGATTCGTGCCGAGGGTTTGGTTCCCGGTTTGTCTCTCTCGGCGCTGTTAGGTTTAGTAAATAAACGTTTTTGGAATTACACTCCGTTCAAATGTCTATCCTCTGGAAAAGAAAAATGCATCTCGCGAGCGTTTGTCGAGGCCAGAAGGAGCGGTTCTAGAACACACTGCGCCTCCGATTTGCACGGAAGTATGGTGCGAAGGAAGTTCAACGTACGTACACTACGCGAGAAATAAATAACAGCTGTTTGATAATCCACGACGGAGCCTCCTTGTGCCGTGTCGGTCATGAGACTTGTTTGAACAAACTGCTCTGTGGGGGTTGGTGGAGGGATGGCCGTGGACATCCCTCGACATGAACCACGGGGCGCAGGGCGCTAACCGTCGCACCACTGCTCCCCCGAATAAATATAATTTGGGCTGCAAATAAATGAGAGAGGGATATTTTTAGTTCCACAAAGTGGAGCAACTTGTCCTACTTCTCACTTGCAACCCAGCGATTGTGCTCACAGCTGAGGAGCTCGCTAAACGCACATCCCCGCGTTGGATTCGGGCAGCGATCAAGCGCAGAACTCCGTCCCATTGACAGGCTCGTTGCTGAAATACGAGGAATTCCGTAACTCCTACAAGTTTATTTCGTCTGGCCATATTTGGCCCCGCCCTGACAGCTCAAGGGCTACACAAATAAACAGCACAGGTGTGTCTTTCCTCCTCTCCAAAGCAAAATAATGGTTTAGTCCACGTGTTTTACGGCTCAAAAGTTTTCCGATGTTAAAAAAATATGTAATATATATATTTGTTTAGGCAAGACATGCCCTGCGCAGGTTTTGACTTGTCTGAATTTCATGGGCAGGGCGTGGCAACTGTGGCCGCTTAAACAAAATGCCGCATCGTGGCCTCTCGTTTTTGTTGCAGGCAGCGGCCCCCTGCCCTTTCGTACCGTACGTAGCCAACCGTGCCATTCGCACCGTACGTAGCCAACCGTGCTAATCCGGCAGTGGATTGACAAAAGGACTGCACGTGTGCAAATGTCGAGATAATTACTAAAATCTTATTTTGCATTCCATCCCAGTGGGCCCTGGAATCCAGAGGGTGCTGGAAAGTGTTTCCATGGCGATGGGTGGAACCCGCCACTCTCGCCCGCCAGCTACCTTCGCCCGTTGGCTCCATCTCCGCTTCCTGTTTGGTTTCCGTGGCGTCCGATGCCATGGGGACGACCTCTGATCCGGCCGCTGCCCTTCATGGGGGAGGGGGGGGGTAAAGGGAGGAGAGAGTGGGAGATCAGAGAGAGGGGAGGTAGGTGGGTGGGGAGGGAGAGGGGAGATAGAGGTGGAGAGGAGGGAGGGAAAATAAGAGTCAGCGGTGTCTGGTAGCTGTGTGCGTGCCCGAGTAGAGTTTCAAGGCTGCACGGAGCACGATCACGAATATAATGCCGCTCTGATATTTATCGCGGTTGCGTGCCAACGCCGATATTGTACCTACACGACCTCCGATGGGCGAATGCCGTGTGGCGCACATCCGGAACTCAGCCGTTCGGCAAGTACGGCACAAGCACGAGAAACCACCACCACCACCACCAACCACATCCTGTTCTCCCTCCCCCCTCGCTCCTCCCTCCTCCCTTCCCGCGTGTAGAAGTGGCCGTCGGGCACGCGTCGACTCAGCAACTTACACGAATTGATTGAAAAGTGTTCTTACGCTCAAGATCTGCACGAGCAAAAAAAAATCAATCGTTCCGAATCGATGTGAGCCAACGGAGGGAACGCACCGCCAAGAGCACGTCGACATGGAACGGGTGAAATCAGCTCGCGTGCAAGAGGCAGGTGGACTTTGTTTTTGCATCACAAAACAGTGAGAGATGGCAACGGCTTGCAGAGGCCTTCATCCAGCAGTGGACAGACCGTGGCCGATGATGATATGCGGGACTCATAACCGGGAGCGTGCATTGACAACTAGAATTATATAAACAAAAAACTTAAGGCAAATTACTTGCTTCACTGATGATGGGGCTTGTTTATAGTATTCGTCATGAGCTCGGAATCAATCCAGAACGTGAAGCTGCCCTTGCCGTACGAGCGAATCCAATCAACCGCCGTGCTCCGAGCGCGATGCGATCGATCAATCCAACTCCCACAAACCATCCCAACTCGTCGCACTGTCTCCTCGGCGGACGCGGCACCCCTCCCCCCCCCCCCCCGCGCTGGATTGCCAGCGCAGGGGGGGGGAGGGGCCGGCCCCTCCGGACTCCCACCGGGGGCTCCACCGCGAGGTGCAGCATCCGGCTCGGCAGCTGCGGCGGGAGTTGTGAGCGCGTGCGAAGCGCGGCGAGCACGTTGAGCAGGTGCCGAGATAGAATCTGAGAGCCGTGGCCGTGAGCGATCGTCGCGCGATCGTGGGGCGGGCGTTCGTGCCGAGGGCGGGCCGCCAGCCAAACCGCCTTCGCCGGCGGCGGCGTTGCGCGGGCAGTGCAACTGCGCCGGAGAGGGCCTCGGCGCTTGGCTACGTGGAAGAAGAAGAAGAGGTGGGGAGGAGGGATTGGACGGGGCGGGCGGAAAGGGGGGGGGCATCGCATCCCGTGCACCTGGGCCACGTGCCAACCACGCTTCGCCTCTTGCCCTCATTTAATTTCGTGCCCGAGACCGCCGCACGTGGGAGGGTATCTCACCGGCCCTCCTCGCTCACCTCCCCATCCCCCCAAGCCTCTGGGCTACTCGCAGTGGCCCTGGCCCCCCCATGTCCCCCCCCCCTCGCATTCCTCCTCCTACCCAGAGGACAATGCAGCACACCGGGGCTCACGGAGAGGGGGGGAGGGGGGCAGAGTTTGGCACGGACGCTGCCGTCACTCCCACGGCGGGGAAGGGGGGGGGGCGGGGGGGGACACAGCGGAGGCAGCGAGCGCATTCCTCCGCCGCACCGCCGCCAATGCCCTGCAAATTCTTTCGCGATCGCGGACCGGGGGGGCTGGAGGGGGCTGGGGGGGCCGGGGGGGCGAGGGGGGGGGGCTTTCCAGAGCCACGGCGACGGTGGCATGGATGCGCGCGATGAGTCACTCCCACCCGGCGAGACTCAATAGCACGTGGGTTTGTGAAGCGAATCGTCCTTTCTTGAACCCAGGGGACGGAATGCCGACCCGCTGAGACACGCGGAACAACAGCCATCGCTTCTTGCGGATCTACATACAGGGGCACGTGCGTCACCGACAAAACAGAGAGATGTCTATAGAGAGTGTGCACACACGTGTAGCGTGTGCACACACATAGTGTATAGAAGCCTGTCAAGAGAAATCAGCTGTATATGTAGTTGGCTCGAGTGTGTCCCCCCCCCCCCCATGGCTTCGTGTAAATTTGTAAAAAAGAAAATCTTGCAATGGTTTTGGGTGTGTAGAGGGCCACTCAGCCCCCCCTCCCCTCCTCCTCCGTGTGCTTGGACCACCGCTGGAGTTGTACCCCCTTCTCCCTCCCCCCCCTGTGCACGGATGGCTGGGAGAAGGGAGTTTAAAACTGTGAGGGCAGAATAGGAAAATATAACTAATTTTTAGCACGGTTGGCTACATACGGTGCAAAAGAAGTTCAACATCCATACGAATGAGCAACCTACCACTGAGTAAAGGTGAGATGAGAGGGGAGAGGTAGGAGAGTGCGTGGAGGGGAGTAGAGTGAGATGAGAGGGGAGAGGTAGGAGAGTGCGTGGAGGGGAGCAGATGACAGGAGAGAGGCAGGAGGATCGTGAGAGTGAAGGAAGAGCCAATTGCTTTATTTCGTCACATTTTGCACCTCGTGTTGTATTCTCCCCCCGTGAACTCCGTGCCGAGTCTCCAGCTTCTGCCGGCGCCGTTATCAAACGTCTCCCACCGGCGTGAGGCGTGTCACCATCGCGCCGCAACGCGTCAAGATGGTTTATAATCTAAACAATATTTACTTATTTTTTTACATCGGCCTCCAGAGGATATAGGGTTCACCGGAACCGATCACACGCGACATATTCAAAAATAGTAAACTCTTACGCAAATGATACGTTGCATGCTTCGCGAGCCGAGGCATCGAGGCTCAATGAGTAATCGCTGCTCCGTTCCAACAAAGTTTCTTTGTTTCTCTCCCAGCCTCTGAGTCTGTGGATGTGTCTCGCCCTCTGGCACCAACCCCTCGGAGTCCCCTTGAGCAAAGCCCCCCAAGAGAGCCCCCAAGCCCTGACAGTAACAGTCGATCAGATGCAGCCACTCGGGGTTCTTAATGAATCATCATCAGCAGCAGCAGCAGCAGCCATGGTCGCTCAACTGCTGGATGAAGGACTTCCCACGCCGCCACTGCCGCCACCTCTCACAATCCAGCGATGTAATCATCCACCTTCTAGCGCCGGGACACGAGCCAATTCCATCGCTCCATCTCCTCGGCGGACGTGCTCTCGGATGAGATCCGCTCCTCGGCTGCCACTCCGTTATTGGTCCTCATGACTCTGAATCAGCTTCTCTCCGCCTTCTCAGTTTTCCCTTCCCCTTGGCCTACGAGGTATGTTTCGTATGTGCCATACAGCGCCTCGACTAACCAGCAGAGAGGTGCTTTATACAAATGTGATGTATTATTCTTATTGTAGCGGCGTATCCCCACCAAACCCGTGTCTACAGTTTCATTTCATTTTCATAAAATGTAGAATGAATTAGGGCAATCAGAAATAAATAGATAAATAGGCTGGTGACAAGAATGTGTGTGGTTGGCCTCGTGGGCAGAGAGCTGGCAGAGCAGGAGAGGAACCGGGATCGGCTGTGCGGTGGTGGTGGTGAAATACGGAAAGTTTCATAATCTCCCCAGGGAGCCGCTCTTCCTCATGGCGGCGTTAGAAGAAGCTACAGACTCGGCTGCGGTGCACTCATCGGCAGCATCATCGTCATCATCGGGCGGTCACACAGCCTAGCAGTAGCGTTGTCTTCGCCGGTTGTTGTTGAAGAGGTTCACGGTTCGCGTCCAGCGGACCGTGAACCAGCCAACGCTGAAGATCCACTGATGTCATTCACAAGAATGGGCCGTTGTGTTGTCAGCGTCAGGGTCGAAATTTGCCCAAGTCAAAAATTACACCGCAAGAGTACTTGATTTGAACTGAGTTCTCACCCGGTTTAACAAATTAAACCGATCATCATGACAATCAGCATCTTGGTGGGTAGCTGCGTGGCCAGGGCTGGCTCGGTCTGATTGGTGGGTGGGTGGTGGTGCTTTATCGAGTGTGCAGGCCCTGCAACTGCACCACCTCTGGCATCTGTTGCCAGCCTGCGGTGCAGACATCACGGGATTTATTTACCCAGAAAAGTGTCACCGAGTCCCTGCCACATTGAGATGTTGGAATCGATTCCCTTCCAAAGAAGTGCTTGAACCTTAGCAACAAGGCACCAAAGCACCCAGAAAAGACACAAAATAAAAATGACAATCGCATGGCACGTGAAGCCGTGATCCTGAGAGGCAGCGATCCATGGAGCTCTTACGCATGAGCCGATCTCATTGCTCCATCTCAGGCGCGCCCCCCACCCCCTCCACCGATGACACCGTCTGCCATCGTCCCGTGTCCTGCCCAAGGCACGCTTTACTGCTTCTTTACAGACGGTGTGTTGCACATTTATTTTGTTGAACCCACCCACCCACCCAGCCACCCACCCAGCCACAAACCCTCCCAGCCAACCACCCACGCAGCCACCCACCCACCCAACCACTCACCCACCAACCAACCCACCAAGTTAGCCACCCACCTAGCCACGCACAGTCACCACCCAGCCATCCAGCCACCCAGCAAGCATCACTCTCTGCAGCAATCATCAGCAAGGGAGGTGCCCCCGTGTCTTACCCTGCACGTTGGTGTCTTGAGTCTGCGCAGATCCGGAGGAGGCGGGGGGGTAGCGAGGACGCCCGATGATCCAGGCGGGATGGGCGTGTGCGGTCACTGCTGCTCAAGCATCTGTGGGACACACGTGTCGCGCGCGCGCGCAAACACTGAGCAACGCACACAGCGCGCGGCATCGCACGACGCACTCAGCAACGCGCTCACGCCGAAGGCCGTGACCCATCCCCGCCGCTGGATGAAAACGGATTCAAGCCATCGACCATCCGTCATGGTCACGTGACGCAACGATCCCTGTCGCTGCTGCAACACGAGACATGTTTCGTTGCTCCTTCTCCACGGCGGTCACCCAATCGGGCGGATTGCCCCGTTTGGGCTGCCACTCTTGGCCAAGCGGCCGTCGTTTCTTCGAGCCACGACGTGTTCTGCCCAAGCCTCACTTGCACACGCAAAAACGGCAATAACAGTGTCGAGCAGGGTGTGCATGAACACGTGTCTATGTCGAGTGACACGTGCTCATCTGGAGCAATGTGAAAAATTCGGCCCAACACCATCACTTCCTCTCTTCTCGCCAGGACGAGTGAATTGTTGTGGAATGGACACCAGGACCCCCCGTGACCGGCAACTTCCGCCCTTACAGTCTCCCACAATCGGATTCGGGGTTTTTAGACAAAGTCCCCGATAACGATCGGAAAGATTCTCAACATAGCGACTACAACAACAGCTGTGCGGCCAGCGATCCGACCTTTAACGCGACACACGCAGCGTTGGAGTTATTTGCATCGTCGCGCACTTCTCCGTGCGTGTGGCCACTAGCCCAGCCATCCGTGCCCAATCTCGTCAGATCTCATCAGATCTCGTAAGCCAAGCTGGTCTGAGCCCGCACGGCGCTTTGACGGGTGCGTGGCAGGCATTGAAGGCTGCTGCGTGCGCGGTGGCATTGCGGAGGTTCGCGCGGACAAATTGGTGGTCGGGCTGCACGATGCCCCCACGTCCACGCTCGAGCGTGGTGGCGTACGGTCTCCCTCGCGTCCACTGCCGACTCGGCCACCTTGTTTAGCTATGGCTCAACTCCTTCATTCTACTCAGCCTAGGAATGGGGGGGGGGGGGCGGGGGGGGGCTCACTACAGAGCAGCGGTGGCTGACTGGCATGCGACTCTTCAATCCATCACACGCGGCTCTATCAAAGGGCGTAACGTAGAACGTGCTATCACAGTAGCGGAGAATAACGAATGCCTCCCGTGGATTAGATCGCGTAAGTATAAATGTGTCGTAACCCTCCACCACCCGACACAGCCAATAAGGTTTGTCACGTAAACAAAACGCCAATCAGTTACTACTTCAGCCCAGCGGTGTGTTGGAGAGCAAATCCACAGCATTTACAATTTGAGTAGTACGACGTTTCACTGGTAATTACATAAACCAGCCAGAATAGTGAAGCAATCCACCTGTCAGAGCAAGGTGATGTGTTAAGCATACACACTTGTATATACACGGCGACTTTGTGACTTTTGCTTTGTTACAAGTTGGCCACCCATGCTCTCGAGCAAGCGGCTCGCAGTTGGAAAGGTTGCGAGATCAAAAGCCTGGGTGGCGGTTGACTCAGCTCATCACTTTGTGGAGAAGTGAAGAGTGGTTGTTGCATGGATAGACTCACCCCTGCCATAGGAACGTGGAATCCCACCGCTGGCCGAGGGCAGTAACAAGGAGAACGCGCCACCAATTCCTCAATGCTCGTCTGAGCTTTGAATATTGCATTCAAGCATCTTCCATTGCTACTTCCTGCACTGCAGCCCTCTCCTGTTAACATATGTCGCTGTCCCTTCCTTCACGCGAGCTTGCATCACACATCCAGCAGTTGATTGACACAAAACGAGGCAACTTATCGAGCGCAGCTCCCGGCGGCACGGCTGCCATCTCAGCGGCGCTGTACGGCAGGCACGCCCGCCACCACCACCACCACCACCGCAGTTACAGTTTCATTTAAGAAATACAAAGTATTTTTTTCGCGACTCTCCTGGGCTTGCCGTGGCTTATCTCAGCAAGCCAGGCTGCCACGGAGTCCGTGTGGGAACCAATACCGTGCACCACTCCCCCCCCAAAACCTACCGCTATTTCCCCCCCATCCCCCCACCAACAACAAACTACGTTCGGCCGGCACCCCAGAGTGCGGTCTTGTGGGGATGAGGCACGGCGTCCGTTTCCGACACCGCTCTCGCACGCCGCCTCGCTCGCTCTCGCAGACAGGTCAGCCTGGCATCCTCCCATCCCTGTTGCTCGTTGGTCAGGTGACCCAGGGTGGAAATTAGACTCTATCCCGGCCTCTTGAGCTCTCACCTCGTTCAATGAAATCTGCCGCGTGGTCGGGAGCAGATCGTAACGCCGGCCGTGGCGGTGAAGCATCCTACGCCTACTCTTTGGTTCTTTCGGTAAAGTCACGTATAAAGAAAATAAATTAAGTAATAGAATACGACGTTTCGATTGCAACACAAGCAACCATCATCAGGTAGAACTAAAATTGAAAGAGACAAAACACAGACACGGAGACACACAGCCAGACACACACAAGCAGAGAGAGACAACACAGAGACACACAGAGAGGGAACACAGGTCTCTGTGTGTCTATGTTGTGTGTCTCTCTCTCTAATTCCTGCAGTCACGAAAGCTTCAAATCAAGTTTCATCCTACACCTGTGATCCGGCGCTTGCCAGGCAAGGGGTAGGAGGATCGCATGAGCTCCCAATACCCCAGGGGCTGCCGAGTGGCAAGGAGTAGGCAATAGTGCAAGTGGGTTCGCGGACATCCTTCGAGCGTCATATCCACTCGTGCGTGGTGAGTTTTCGGGCACTCCGTGAGAAACACTCAGTCAAGGACAATGCAGCCCACGCAACGCAGATCTCCTTCTATTGTAAATATAAACACTGAGGCTGTAGTGCTGCTGGCATGGGCATTACTATTACTTTCATTAACTTTTAATTTTATTTATTTTATTTTATTTTTTACCTACGAGTTGCTCCAGCATAGCCATCTCGTATGGCCACTGACCTATTATACAGCTCTTGTACAGAGGCGACCTGGCCACAAATGATTACGCAACGAAGCGGCTTGTCACGTGGACATTTTACAGCAGCCAAATAACATAATCTGAGGTTAATGCAGAGGAAGCAACAACGCCGCTGCAGCGATATGATGATGGAGGGCCTGCCAACGATGCTGAATATTTTCTGGCGTCACCGAAGTTCAGGTTTTGACTTGTGTAGCCAGCCGACTACTGTAGAGTCCAGGACGTGATCTCTTGTGCAAGAGCGACCTCCCCCCGGGTTTACCCCCCACGACGAACATGTGGCCCGTGGCTTGTAGATAACAGCTGCTCGTGTTGTTGTTGTTGTTGTCGTCGTTGTTTGTAAAGCTGCAAATTCCTTGAGTAGATTTCGCCGAAGCTTCGCACCGCAGCCACGCGCACCTAAATAGGGAGTGCTGCGACCCAACTTGGATTTCCCGAGAAAATAATCAAATAAACCACCGTCATTATTATTATTATCATTGCTGTTGCCGTGTTTGTTTATTCTGGAATCCGTTCTCACAGAAAGCCTCGCGCCGTAAAAGGAAGTTCAATTTACAAGAAGAAGAACGGGAAGGGCTATTTAAACATTATATATTATACTGTATCTAGAGCCTGCCCGTGCTCACGGTTTACGATGCAAAAGCTGCCAGGAACGAACGCAAAGCGGCAACCACGACGGGCGGCTCGGCCGGCCGACGCCCCACGCGAAACAAAGCACGAGCTCGTGGCCGGCGTCGTCGAGAGTCGGGGTGGAGACTGCGAGCAACGACGCTAAATGAGCAGACATAACAGCTCCCGTCAACAGGCGTCTCGGAAGATACTAAACAAAAAAGCGTGGGGTCTTGTGTTGTTGTTGTTGTTACACTTCCCATGGGCTGGGCACGGCCTCCTGAGAGCTCATCCTCTCAGTGGCACTCAGCAAACCCCTGGAGAGCCAGCCGGCTTTTGACATTCGGCGTCCCAGAACATGAATAAATATCCATCCTGGAGGAATCCGATGAGCGATAAAGCTCTAATTCACAGATGCCCAGTAGGGGCGGGTCACAGCGTCACGACAACAAAGAGTACCAACACACGATAGAAGTGCAAAGTTTATGAAAGGTAAACAGATGACTTAAAAGAAATATACAAATAAAACAAAACTATGGTTTGTTATCTTACCAGGTAAAGCCCACTGAGCTATTAACTCATTCTTCAGAAGCGACCTGGCCACAAATGATAGCTCAACGAAGTGGCTTACCATGTGGAAATGTATAGCAGCAAAAGAATCTAAATAATCATCGTCACTGTGAGTGAGGCTCACTTTACACCAATGCTGGTGATCTGACTATCGTTTAAAAAGCTCTCCGCTGGAGTTTTCTCGTCGTGCCACCGCGTGTTGTACGTCACGACGTCCGACGTTTCGCTCCGTGTTGCGCAACGCGGAGTACGACCCGAACCCGGCATGGGGGTACTCCCACGCAGTCAGCGGACGATCTGACGGTATCGTTAGGAACACAGTATTCAGAACATTTCAGATAATTTCTTTATGGTGATAGATTAATGGAGTGTGGGAGTCACCGGAGCGTGTGGGCCTGTGGGCCCCGGCAGGCGAACACTTTCACCTACCGCTCGCATTTTCCATTCTGCAGATACTAATCGGTGATAACGGTGCTAACATTTCCTCGCACGTTCATGATGTTCACGATTGGACAAAAAGTACACTAATTAGTCATTACGATCCTCGCCCAGTGGCATTTAGCCTCGCGACTTAAATAATAATCTTGCTCGTTAAGAACTCGGCACGCCGTAAGATACAATATCTACATGCATTATTCGCTCAAGTACATCGACACAAAGGCAAAGATCCCCCATATGGGCTACATAAGCTGCAAGGGGAAAGTGCTGTTAGCGAGCACCTATTAAAGCAGGCATGGCGTGGCGTTCGAGGCAGTGGTGTGGCCAGCACCACGGCCTTTGACCTTTGCCTCCCCAATGCCGATGTCCGAACGCCGCACCGGCTACCCATTTAAGGCTGAGTCGATATAGGGGATGCACAGTACAGGTTTATAT